TACATTTCTAAAAATGACCATATTTTGTACAATGACAATACAAACATATCTGTCCTGGGTTCCACGATCCACGATTTACCGTTTTCTGGACCATTTTTAATTTGTATTAATTCAAAAAGGACGTAAAAAAATATTGGAAGATCTTACAGGTGTCGGTTTCCCTAAAACAACACGAGAAATTTTGGAAATGGGCTTTTAAATTTAAAATAGAGGGCAAATTTTTTAATTTAATTCTACTTGTGCATTTTTACCTTTTTCTGGATTACATTTTTTTTGGCCTTATAAAAACTGAAATGTTAAATAAATGGTATTAGTCAAAATTTTTTTCATGCTGTAACAGAAACATGGTAGAAAGTCGCAAATACCTCTGCTATCTATTAAAACTAACAGAAAAATTGTAAATTTTCCCCAATGTATAGTAAAAATGTAAATTATTGCTTGGGTATCGAAACGTCCTCCGATGATATTCGTGATTGTTTCTGTTATGAATTAGCTTTTTGTTTGTCTTCAGATATCACTATGTAATTTTGTTTTGTATTCTCATTTTATTTAATTCTTAAAACAAATTAGGAACAAATAGGTTCAAAAATATTTCCACTAGACAACTACCGTGCTCGTATGATGAAACGGAGGTATTACTCCATTGGAATTTATGAAATTTGGAACTGTATACCTAAAGAGGAGAAGAAAACAAATTATTGCCACCAATAATCTATATTTAGAAAGAATATTTTTACTAGCCTGATGCTATTGTACCAGTTGAACATTTTTTTATTTTTTATTTGAACTTTCTCTCTATTTCGAAAAGCGTCAGAAACTGGTATAAGAAGGCATTGGCATTTTTAAAAGGTTATTAGTCGACAGTCAGGTGGATATTTTTGATTTCAGAAGTTTAAGCAAGACGGGCCAAGTGTTTCGTGAAGCGATTTTGTTCAAAAGAAATAAATTTGTACAGGTGATTACAAGGTCGGACAAATCGGTAATGCTGTTGACTCAAGTGTTACTATCATTGATGATCCGGTCAGAAAGGATAACACTAATAAATCACGTTAAAATCAAGGTTGACACCGTACACGACTAACGTACTCACTTGAAACTTGAGGAAGATTGCATATTTTTCCTCGGATATAAAACAAATGTCACCAGAGACTCACTTCAGAATCTTGCAATCCTTCCACACGAACAGGACCTTCACAGTCAAGTGTGAAAGGGCAATGTCTCCATACCTATACGAGCAGGGTACTTCAGGGCAGTGTCCTTGGTCTTCTGTTATACTCGTTATATAGCCTCTTCCAACGCCCGAAGACGTTCCGCCGGCACCATTCTTCGACTTGTTAAAGATTGTGAAATACCAAATTCGAAATTATTTACATAGATGGGTCACCAAGTAAGGCCGATTTCCAACCGGTGAAATTTCTCCACTAATGTACCTTTTACTCTTAATGACGATGTAATGTCCACTAAGTACGCTCTTTATGTTAACAGTAAGTTAATACTGGGCCCAACATAGATATTCAACAATCCGAAACGTTAAGTTGTACATTCCATAATCTAAAACCAACATAGCTTACTCAAAGTAACGACATTCGAGATTTGCGAATTACAAATGATAGGAAATAACACCTTAAGAACGATTTGGCCACCTTTCAACAAAAATCAAAACAACACAAGCTTCTCTAGTTGCTCTAGTTAAAAAAAAATATGTAGCAACCGCCTATGAAGACCTAAGATTTGACTTAACCTATTGGCTTACGGAAAGAAATTACAAAATTTTCCTACGATTAATAGGTTAATTGAAGAAAAGGTGTAACAATCAAATAAAAGGAATAAGATTTAAAATAAATTAAATTGATAAATAAATGTACTTATAAGGTGAAACGAAAGACTAAAAAATGTTGAGACTCAACAATAAAAGCTAATCTACTCTTTTTAAATCGATGTTGTTTGTTGCCCATTAAGTCCAGATAAAGAAGTGGACCGACGAACTTCAAGCATTCCTTTGAAAAAGGGGTTCGAAAGTTCGTTAAACACTAAATACTTCATACCGAGAATTTAAGTTTTGTTTCTCTTTTAAAATTCAACGCTGCATTTGTCCTTATTTGCTGCCTTGAAGTATACAGATCAATAAATAACACTGCGTATTGAAACAAAAGTTTTCAAGCTCTAAATAAATTGCTATTAATAATACTAGGAAGAATCGGTGCGGATTTCCTTTGTATTTATTATTAATAAATTCTTTTAATTATAAGTCCCCAGATGAACTTTTTTTAAAAGTAAGAAATATAAAGAAATTAATGAAACTAACAAATAACGTTCAATATAGGTTTTAGAATTATAATTAAACTAATTTACTATAATTTTTTGTCTTGACGAAAATTACGAAATTTTCAAGTAAAGAGACTGAAGAATACAATTTTTAATAGAAATTACAGGAATAAAAATTTATTACATGAAACAAATATTTTTTCTGAATAATTTCAAGGTTCGTTTTTTACCATAGCTATTTCAGTTGGTAAACCAGTCCGGAATTTTAGCAAATTTTTGAATTATACATATTGATGTTTTTGAGGGGGTTTTTATATTATAGAAAAGAGGTCATTTTGGAAAACTAATCACTATAAAATAAATAGGAAGTAAATTGTTGTAATTCATACTTGCCAGCAGACTTTATTTGATACACGAAATACTATTTGGACTAGACAATTAATGTTGAACATTTACCAAATTTTCAAGTAGAGAAACCGAAGAATATATTTTTAGTCGAAATTACAGGAATTTATTAAGCGAAGCAAATATTTTTTCTGGATTATTTTAAGGTTCGTTTTTTTACCCTAGCTATTTCAATAAAGATTGTCCGGATTTTTAGCGCATTTTTGAATTTCGGACATTGACATTTTTTCAGCGGTTTTTCTATATAAAGGAAAAAGAGGTCATTTTTGAAAAAAAAATAAAATAAAATAAAATAAATAGTATGTAAATTAATTTTGATATGCACTTGCAAACCGCCTTCATTGTATATATTAAATGCTATTTGGACTAGTCAAATAATATTGAAGACTTACGAAATTTTCAAGTAAAGAGACTGAAAAGAACAATTTTTAATTGAAATTACGGGAATACAAATTTATTAACGAAACACTTTTTTCAAATTATTATTTTAAGGTTTAAGGTTTTGAGGGGTTTTTCTATTCAATGGAAAAGAGTTATTTTTGGAAACTAATTATTATCAAATAAATAGGAAGTAAATTTATATTAATACATACTTGCCAGCAGACTTTATTAATATTTTTTTCTGAATTTTTTAATGTCCGTTTCTGTTTACCCCTTTCAGTTGGTAAGATTGCCGCATTTTTCCAAAGTTTCAAGTAGAGAAACGGAAGAATACATTTTTGTTGGAATTACAGAAATAAAAATTTATAAAATGAAACAAATTTTTTTCTGGATTTTTTTAAACTTCGTATTTACCCTAGCTATTTCAGTTGATAAGATTGTCCGGATTTATCCAAATTTTCAAGTATAGAAACTGAAGATTACAATTTTGTTGAAATTACAGGAATTAAAATTCATTTACTGAAACAATTTTTTCTGGATTATTTTCGGGTTCGTTTTTTTTTTACCCTAGCTATTCCAGTTGGTAAACCAGTCCGGAATTTTGGCCTATTTTTGAATTATATTGATGTTTTTGAGCGGTTTTCCTATATAATGAAAAAGAGGTCCTTCTTGAAAACTAGTTACTATTAAATAAATAGAAAGTAAGTTGTTTTAATAGATAGTTGCCAGTAGACTTTATTCTATATATTAAATGCTATTTGGACTAGACAATTAATGTTGAAGAGTTTCCAAATTTCAAGGAGAGAAATCGAAGAATACATTTTTGTTGAAATTACAGGAATAAAAATTTATAAAGTGAAATACATCTTTTCTCTGGATTATTTTAAGGTTCGTTTTTTTACTCTAGCTATTTCAGTTAGTAAGATTGTCCGGTTTTTTTTTTTAGACCATTTTAGAATTATGCCCTTTCATATTTTGGTGGGATTTTTATAAATAAAGAAAAAAGAGATACTTTAACACTATTCATTATAAATAAAGGGTAAGTAATTAGATTTTGAATTATACTTGCCACAAGTACCATATATGAAATGCTATTTGGACTAGACGAATGTTGAAGACAAATTCTCACATAAGGAAACTGTGAACCTGAACAATATTTCTTGCTATTGCAATAGAAATAAAGTTTTTTTAAAGTTAAAACATTTAATTTTTAGGTTTTTCAGGTTCAGGTTTACTAAATGTCAATTTTTTTATTAGCATCATTGCTGTTGGTAGGCTTGTCTGGTTTGTTGGTCATTTGTGCATTTGGTCAGTTGTGTACTATTGTACAAAAGATCTATTATTTTTTATTCAAGGGTATTTTCAATTGTTTAAAAATTTTGTTGAAAAATATTTTTATTTTGACCATTTTTCCACGGAATGGGCTGATTTGCCGCGCCAGGCGGACTTTCTGACCGACGCCGTTGGTAGAGCTAGTGACTTGGCGAACACCATACTGATAACAAGTCCTGCACAATTTGAAACCGGAGATAGTAAAAAACTTGTGAAAAAGTTTAAAAAGAACTGATAATACAAGTTCAAAAGGGCCGGAGTTTTTATAAACCAAGGTATCAGGGACTGGGCCGTCTTTAAGGACGGGAGTGAGACTCGCGAGCCCTTTTTCCGTTTTAAAGTGCAAAAATCGAAATTACCCCGCTAGAAAGTAATAGTCGAAAAAACTTGAAGGCCAGAGAAGCCTATTCTCAGCCGTGTCCGTTGTGGAAAAAGTAGACAAATGTACTATTAAGACCGGTTTAAAATTGTGAAAATTTATGAGAAAAGCCGGTTGATAAAAGGGAAAAACGAATTTTCAACTCAAGCTCGAGAAAGCCCGAGTCGAAAAACCCCACCGTACGTCGTACGAAAAAAGCCAAAAAAAGGTTCTGATAATGGTTTATTTTAAGACTTACTTGGCCTCTTAGTCCGAAGGAGCTGGTGTAGAGAGGTTGAGCCTGTCTCAGTTTGATGATGGATGAGGATGATTTTCTCCTCGCCTGGGTCGTCCTTCCGATTTGACACAATTTGTCTAAAGCACGAGCACAAAGCCGACTCGACGCAAAACAAGCCATAGTAGTACTGGCTGCGACTCTTCTCTGACTGAGAGACCAGTCACCGAGCATGTTTCTCTTCAGCTACCCCCGACATTTCTGCCCGTCAGCTGATTCCCCCGCTACCGCCTTTCTAAAAACGTTGACTCTTATCTGGCCCGTAAAGACGTCGGTGGTTTTTTTTTAACAAAACCGTGCTTATTTCAAGGTTCATAACTCTTTTGAAATAAATTATCAAACAAAAAACGATATTTTCTCTTTAAAAAATATTAAGTTTACCCAACGTATAAAAGAAAATAACTCCCTTTACGGAGGTTCTCAAGTTGCAGGTTTGAAACAACGTGCTCTCAAGTTCAGTACTTCAGTTAACTTAAAACTTCCGTTTCTGATTTTTCTTAGACCAAAAAGACTAAAATGTTGAAAAATATCGTTTCCAGTTGTAAATACCTGATTTCAGACATTGAAAACATATTAAACAGCATAATTACGAGGAACTCAATTCATCCTGGTATGATGTTCTTTTTATTTATTTATTTTTTTTAACTAGTTTTATTTTTTGCAACGCTAGACGTACCGTCTTTTCATTTTCTTATTATTTCGGTCCTGCCTTTCCTCGCAGTTTTGGTCTCCGAAAAAATTCTTTCTAGGCAAAACGGCGAGACTGGACGGACAAAAAATGACTGAAAATGTGAAACTCACAGCTTCAACACCACGGATACCTCAAATGTTTTACTTTGTAAATTATAAACCTTTTTCAACTATTGGACTGGTGCAAAATTATTGCAGGTTTTGAAAATTTGTTTTATTTTCGTAGGTGCTTGTCATGTAAACAAAGCTAAATCCTCAAATCTTATTTATGGATTATAATAAATACATTTAACTTGTTATCTTTTATACAAAACATTTTAGATAGGGCCTATGAAATATCAAATTCCAATTTTTATCATGACTAGAAATTCAGAATCATAAAGTAATAAATAAATAACAAGTAACGAGAGCAATAAATATTGATCAACCACAATAAGTACTAAAAATCAAAATTCGGTACAAAAACAACACAAAGGATAAATAAAGACAAACAACAATGAACAAATAAAAGTGCAGACCTACTAAATAACAAATTACATTTTAACAAAATTAACAATTTGATGACACAAACCAATAAATAAATAACAAGTAACATAAGCAATAATTAACTATCAACTAACTACAATAAATACTACAGAATAAATAAAGATCAAACACTCGGGAAGCCAATAGCCATCCTACGAGGAGGGGATCCCCGCCAGCCATTTTAGTTAGTGTCATAAGCGGGATTTGAACCCACGACAGCTGCTGACAGAAATCACAATAGCTCAAGTGGTTAGAGCAGCTGCGTATTGAGCAGAAGGTTGAGTTCGAATCCCACTCATAACACTTTCAACCAAGACCTTACATAAAAATAATATTTTAATTTATATTGAATTTTATTAGAGTGAGGACCTGCTAAATTAAAAAGTCCAAATTAAACAATTCAAAAATGAATCGGGGTATTTGTAATTTGTTTGTATTATTTTAATTTTAATTAAATTAACCAATATATTCTTGTTAGTTGAATAAAACAATATATAATATACAGACAAACAAATGTTAATCCTCATTTTTAATAATGGATTTACTTAAGAATAGTAAACATGAAGATTTTGTTAACAAACTCTTTTTCTCGTATTTTCTCCATTTTAATCCAGTTGTATTCTCTTGAACCATGGAAAGAAGTTTCTTCTTTTTCATTTCAACATTTCTCTTTCCTTGAAAGAATGGAGACTGTGAGACCACCTGTGAGAATGAGTCATCAAGGTGACCATCGAGTGGACATCTTAGAGACAGCTGGCGTTTCTCAGAGCGCGGTCTCATGGGCTTTAGCCCGATCCGAGAGTCCGGAAGTGCCAGTAGGAGGCCTAGTAGTGGAACTCTGTGTCCACCAGATCATAAATGAAGTACAAGATGTTTTGGCAAGGCCTTTATCAACACGAATGAACCTGCAGCAACAGCACACCCAGCAACTCAAGAGCATATATGTTGCCGCGAGCGCCTAGAAGAGAATTGAATGCAAACACAATTGAACAGGGATTTTCGATTTCTGGAAGACAGTGCCAGACCTCATAGAGGAAGAGATGTTTATGTTCAGAAAACCTATATCCTCTCTGCCCCTTGCCCTATTGTCTCCAGACCTCAATCCCATCGAGCACATGTAGAGAAGGCTTTTCTATCACTATCCACACCCAGTTGACCTGCAACATCTATGAAGTGAAATTCTTAATGAAATTAGTGGCAACCACATTAACAGTATACCTAACAGGTGCACAGAGGTTTTAGCTAACAGAGGACATTTTACATGACAATAATTGTTTTAAAAAATTATTTTGTCCAATAAAAAAAATATGGAATTAAAACCTTTCATTTTGTAATTTTTCAAAATCTCTTAATTAAATTTTTCTTCAGTAAAAAACAATTTCTTTCAATTAATTATTATTTGTATGTAAGGTCTTGGAAGAAATGAAAAAGTTAGTGTCATGAGCAGGATTCGAACCCACGACCTTCGGCTAAGAAATAATTTGGTCAATCAGGCCGCTAGACCCAATGGGTTTGATCATTTCTACTCAATTTTAATGCTATTGATAATGAAAATAAAAATGCTAGGGAAAATAAATACTACAAAATTGGCAATATTCCTATAGTTCCTAGTATAGTTTAATTTTACCATTATTTTGCATGTAATATAATTTTGTACCATTTTTATGATTAAGAAGTTGCCTGCGAACTATGCCAACTTTCAAAAGATTTTTAATGCATATTATATTAAATACTGTATATATACATAACTACATATTTATTATCAAAAGTTAATATTGTTTTATGAAAATATTTTTAGGTCTATGCATTTTGCCATTAAATGCTCAACAAAGGACAGATGAAAGGAGTAAACCGATCATCGACATTTTAAAAGACGCTTTTCTCTTTGCCGTGCCCAAAAGCAGGAGGTCTGTGGAGAGGAGGCAAAAACGGAAATTCGGTTGGCCAGAGTATCATTGGAAACCACTCGTACCTAAAACAAATATCCTTATATGCACTAGCTGTGGCCACGATTATTTAGCAGGTCACCTTTGCGGTTAGTTTTTAATTGCTTTCAAATTACAGTTAATTAAACTATATTTGGAGGAATTACTGCTCTATACAACTATATTTTATTTTTCACCAACATAACACAGTTTTATAAAGTTTGAAATAGTCATTGTTAGAATTTTATAAAACAACAATGACCAAACAATACCTAATAATAACTTAATGTGAGTAAGAACTATCTTTTTTAAAAAGGATTGAACACCGCACTCACTCCATCATTCACCATTTCTACAGTTAGATATTGTTATATAATTTTTGTTTCTTTTTTTTTGTGTTTTTTAGGAAACTGTTATGAAAGGGTTAAAAAGGAAACTGAGGAAATGCAGAAAGCAATTGAAGCCACTCTAAAATTAGATCCAGTCGAAAAAGAAGTAGTAGTCCTCTATGAAGATGAGTTAAATGATAAAAACCAAGAATTTTGGCAGGTAATTGATCATTTTATATTAATTTTTATATTTAAAATTGTTGGTTGTATTTGAGAAAAAAATTACACTTAAATCCATTCTTTCAGGGAAAGAGAATTGTTGAAATGAAGAAGAAACGTCCTGCATGGTTCAGTGATAATTTGCTACAAAAAAGCACCATTGGCGGCGATTCAGATACTAAAGATAAAAAACCTAGTAGTGATGAACTTGCTTAGCTTTGGATCTTTTTTAAATTTTTACTTAAACAATGTATGTACATAATGTAGTATTAATAAAAATAAACATTATAATAGTTACTTTTAATTGAGACATGTGATAACAAAAATGAGGCAAATTTAAAAAATGCTTTACCCTTAACCTAAACCTTGGATACTTAGCGCATTAAATTTATGTAATTTAAAATCACATCCAAGCTTCCAGTCAGGTCAGTACCTTGATCTTAGATTACCTTGAAGATTTTCCCCTTTCTGCTGGCTGAATTTTGAATCGAGGCTTGTGCAACTATGCTTTTGGTACCTAAGATGTTTTGTAACAAATACTGTAAAAATCTGTCAAATTTCAGATCCTGAAATATATTAAATAAGTACTTTGCTTTATTCAACTATATAAAAATAAAATAAAATCGTATAATGGGAGATTCAATTAGTAACAAAGGTTTTTTTTTTTTTTTTAATTTAAATGAACCCATTTAAATTTGGGGCCGCTGAGATTTGAATGAAGGCTCTAACAGTGATGAGTTGCCTCGTCTGCGGTTAGTTTGGATCTACTGTTGTTTTGAAATGAACAACTTGGTTTACAGTCGGACCTGTACTTAGGAAGTTTCTGGTTAAAATAAAAAACAACTGTTGGTGCTTAAGTAGTTTCTGATTAAATAAAGAACAACAGTTGATACTTGAGATGTTGTACCCATATTATAGTGAATGAAATAGTACGTAGGAAATAGAAGAGTAAATCAAACTAATACACTCTTGGTGTACTTATCATGATTTTGGTAAATAAAATCTAGTTTAACAAAAAAAAAACTTTAAGCATGTTTCTTTCAGTAATGTGTCATAATGTTCTACAATTGGCTTAATTTCAGATATTAATGCTTGTACTCGTTAGTACATGTACACATCTAACTGTTAGGGGTAAAAAGTTACTGTTTTAATTGTGGAACTCAATCAGTAATAAGTGGAAGTGTTGAATATTTATTTATAAATTATTAAACTCCAGATTTATAAGAGAGTTTATATAATATGATCATTATTAATCATCTTGGTCCTTGCTGGATCGGTCTGTCGTTACAACATTTCACCAATCCTTTTTTAATATTATTTATTTGCATTTCACGATGTTCACTGCAGCCTAGTTCAGTGCACTGATCCAGTGGGACCTAAACAATCGGATCAGACTTCATTGCCTCAGGAGGAAATCTGACAAGCATATAAATATTTGAGTCAATGAGCATTCTTATAAAAATGCATCACAATTCGGGACAATTTGCCCAATCATTTGTGTAATTCAGCAGGTGCAAGGTATTAATGCGCTGTGTTCACACCCGACTCTTCTCAGGACTATTTTGTGCACCAAATATTGAGAATGTTACTTTGTTCTTCTTTATTTAAAATCTAATCGATGGTCGTAAAAGTTTTACTCTGTTACTTTAATGAAATACATCACCAGGAGGGCCACAAGGTCTTGAGTTCTACAGAAAATCTATGGTAATAAGGATACTACTTTTTTAGAAGTATCAGGTCATTGACTGTCGCTGCTACAAACAGAAAATACTAAATATAATTTAACCCACTTGTAGTATTGTGGGACGTTATAGATAGAGTGTGCTATACAGCAACTTTTTCCAGTTGAGCTACTATCTAGTATCTACTGTCATTGAATTCGTTGATTCGTAACGTCCTTGTTGATACGATTGTCAGGTTTATAAGCCAGGCTATACTGTTGTCAGTTGTGTCAACAAATAGGATGAATTCTACAAAATTGGACATAGCGTCGCAATGAACCGAAAGAACAGCACGAACGAGTCGAGTTTCCTGGTCGGAGGAGGGCAGGACGCTTCCTCTTTGTCGGTCCACGCCTTGAAAATCGCTCTCATGACTATGAAGGACAGGTGTCAGAAGCTGCAGAACAGGCTGTCAGCTATGGAAGAGGAAAACCTCCAGCTGAGGATCGAAAGGCACAGCATACCCGGCCTGTACGGCAAGAAGGAGTCCGACCCGAATCCGGAGCTGTCCCTGCTCAACAGGAAGATGGAAGAGCTTCTGAAGCAGAAGTCAAAACTGAGCCACCATGTCTTCATGGTTGCGACGGAAAACAAAGACCTTTGGGAGAAGATTTACAAGCTAGCGGAGGAGGAATACTCCGCTGGGAACAATCATGACATCCAACCGGATGTGAAGCACAAATACACAAACCTGAAGCCTTTAAGGTCGCTCCAAATCGCAGGAATGTGCAAAGGTATTCTCCTGCTTAATGCATCATTGTATAGTTTTTTAAATCCAGCCAATTTTTTTTCTTTAAATATTACATGTACAAATCAGTGGGACCAAATAACTGACACTAGCCATAATTACTTTAACATACACATATTACTTACTTACTAATCAGTGCGACAGTCCTTAGAGGATCTGGACCTTAATAAGTTTTCCCCATTCGTTTCGGTCTTTAGCCTTGAAGTGCCATCTCCTTACACCCGTCTGCTGTAAATTCTATTCCACAATGTCTAACCACCTAAGACGAGGGTGTCCTCATATTCTTGAGCCTCCTGGCTTCCCATAGAGGAGTTTCCTTGGAAGCCTATCTTGAGGCATCCTCTCCACGTGACCCAACCATCTCAGTCTTACCCCCTTTATTTAGGCAACTATATCCGGCTCGCCAAATAATTGCTTTAATTTGTCATTCCTGTGTACTTTCCATTCACCATTTACACACTTCAGGTCAAATATTTTTCTTAGCATTTTTCATTCTCTTACCCCAAGAATCTTTTAACTTTCTTTACTATGTTTCACTAGCGTACATAACTATTGGCTTTATAATCGCTTTGTAAGCTATTTTCTTAGCCTTGCAAGATAGGTGCTTGAACCGCAGAGCTTTTTGTACTACAAACAGGCATCTATTTCCTATCACTATTCTTGCTTTTATTTCTTCCTTTACGTCCATTATTATTTGTACTAAGGACCCTAGATAAGTACTGAATGCTGGGAAACTATGGTTTCCAAATTGAACTGGTCCTTCTCCACATCCACAGGTTTTCGAGGTGCTCATATACTTAGTTTTACCCTCGTTAATTTCCAGACTGTGCTTCTTGCCGTTCCTAAAGTGCTCCTCCCAGTGCCGCCTTTGTTCTTGCTATAATTAATTCGTAGTCCGCATGTGCCATGTGTTGCGCTAATCTATTATAAATAGTGCCGCCTGGGTTTGTTCTAATGGCCCATACCGCTCTTTCCAAACAGAGATTGAAGAAGACGCCTGATAGAGGATCTCCTTGCCACAGGCCTGTATCTACTCTATAATCCTCCGACAGTGTATTTTGCACTTATCATGCATATTATCAACAATCCATTATATTTCGTGGTCCGATTGAGCAAATAACTTCTTTCAATTAATTAATCTTTATGTAAGGTATTGATTCAAACGAAAAAGCTAGTGTCGCGAATGGGATTCGAAACCACGACCTTCGGCTAAATACGCCGCTGCTCTACCACTTGAGCTATCGTGACTTCGATTCATTCAGACACCAACCTCCCATCTCAACCTACCTTTCGAATTTTCCATTATCAACAACGGTGGCAATAAATCTTAACCTAATTTATGTTGTTATTATTATTATTACTTTTTTTTTAAGAGGGTTCGCAACGGCAGAGGTCATATAAACCCTCAGGGTGCCGGTGTTTTTGAAAAAAAAGCCCATTTGTAAGTATGTCGCGTTCGAATGCAGGGCCGCTGGATTTGAACCCGGGACCTTTACCTTACAGTGATGAGCACCGTGTCAAAGACTAAACCTTGCGGCCACCGACACCCCGCCGAAGTGTATTTTGCACTTTGACTTGGTAGCTCATGTTATGCCACGTCATATCGATTAGCCTAACTAGCTTACATGGTACACCCTTAAATCTGCTAAGGCTTCCTTTCTGTCCACAAATAGGTGATGTAGACCTATTCATAGGACTTCTCTAAGATCTGCCTGTATGAGAATATATGGCCGATAGCTGATTTTCCCAGTCTGAAGGCACACTGGTATTCTCCAAGAATGTTTTATGCCCATGTTACCAATCGTTTGTGGATGGCAGTAGAAAGTATCTTACACACCACTGAGAGCAAGGCTATCCCTCTATAATTCTTATAGTCTAGCTTCATTTTTATACATCCTTTCATTAATATGCATGTTATTTTATCATAATTGTTTCGATTACTGTTCCTACAAGAAGTAACTTGACAAGGAGCAAAAAATTATGGCAGCCAATATTGTCTTCCGTATTGTTTTTATATACTATTTAGAATCACGCCCAAAACTCTTTCGCTAGTACTTATGACACAATTCGTTTTCAGATGGTAAAGAAGAAAGTTTGGAAGAAATATCGCTTAGAGGTTTAAGTGGTTGCGTGGAAAGGACAAGTGGCCATGATAACCAATCAACAAAGTTAACAGATCAAGTAAAAGTAAAAGGCTGTGAATTTACATTGTGCGACATGACTGAGGAAGAAGAGATGGAGAGTGAAGACATCGCTTTAAGCGAACTGAATGAAATATTAGAGAAACTAAAAATGGAAAAACAAATTCTCAAACAAAACCAGGAATATTTAAAGGACACACTTGAAAAAGTCACTGGATTTATTAACGGTAATATTATTTATTTATTTTTTTTTTTATTTGAAATTATCTGAAAGTTTTTTTCCTAGACAATTTTCCTTGTAAAGAGTGCAGTGAGCGTTCAAAAGAAGACCATTTAAACAAAGAGTCTCACAAAATTGACGAAATAATTGACAATTATGCCGAAGAAGAACAGAACAAGAGCACAGGCGAAGTTCTGAACGTGCGCAACGGAATTGCTTTGAAGAACAAAGAGAACAACTTTGAAGACCGGATCTGCCCGTTGTGTACAAAGTTTTACGCCAAATCTACACCGTTCGATGAATTCAACGATCACGTATTAAGCCATTTTGTTGAAGATTCAGAACAGGATTCACACATTAGCCTGTACGAGGTGACTGCCTAATATATATATAAAAAAAATACAAAATATATTTAATCTAGGTGCGATTGTAAATTTTGTATATGAATAACTTGTGTGACTGTGCAATATTTTTTCTACATGAAGATCAAACTATTTATTTATTAATGTTTCTGGTTTTTCTATAACTTTTACATAGAATTAGAATTTTTTTTATCAAAATATTTTATAACTGTGGAAATATTATTTTTTTAAAGCACTACTATGGAATCGCAACAGAGTTGGTTCCTAGTAAAATCAAAATAAAATACAAATTAATCAATTAACAAATTAATTTTAAACGATCTCCCAACAAAAAATAGCAATTTAGTATTTAAATCTTGGACTAAATTTTAATTTTTAGAGATTAAAAAATATATACTATTTAACAATTTTATATCCTTAATAATTGAAACCCAACCCAAAGATGCAATCATTCCACTTTTGGCAAAAAACAAAAATCTTTGTTTTCTTGAAAAATAATATGAATAAATGTTGAGGTAGAAAAATCGATGTGTCGGAGATCAAAGCCAGTTTTTTTATTTATTACGTATATTTTATATACAATAATATACATAATATATATAATATTATAATAATATAATTAGTATTATATATATAATTATTTTTCTTCTGGCTTTTTCCTTTGGACTACCACGATGAGTCAAAAACTGCCTTGAAAAAAATATGAGGTATTGAGAGAATGAGATGGGGGTAAGAAGAGGTAAGGGGTATGTCCCTCACCTCCACGAACTTTAAGCCATCTCACTCTTCTACTTTTTCTATGTTAAAATTTATTTATCAATACAATTTCTTTGATGTGATGAGGAATATTTCAAAATTTCAGTCACATTATTCGCAAGCCTATATTTGACTCTAAGGTCTTCATAGTTTCTTGATGTCAGAATATGCTTGACGGAGATCACTTCATCTCAAGTTGCGCATTCTTAGGGAAGCTCTCTAGTCATGAGGGGACCATGCGTCAGTCTTGAGTAACCTATCCTAAGCCTAGCCAATACAGTTTCTCCTTTTTGTGATCTTTGCATTGCCATACCCCATTGTTTTTTTGACATCTCCCTTAATTTCTCCGAGTTTGTTTTCCACTATGTTTCGCCATTCCATATGCCAGAGGTCCCAAATTTTTCTTTTTCAGAAACTACAAAAACTTCATTAGGCCCGTCCAGGACAGAAATACCCTTCGATGAAGCACATTTTGCTGCTAGGTCAGCAAATTATACCACAGTGACCTGGGATCCTCAGAAAGGTAACTACTGATCTTGTGCGATCTTTTAGAGCAAGATACTGGGATTTGTAGAAAAATTATTTTTGATAGCTAATAGAGTAGAAAGGGCATCTGGGCAAATTACCAGGTCAGTGTTGTTAGAGCATACGATATTTAGGCATTTATTTATTTAAATTATTTTGGCAGTGTAGTTGCTACATATCTGGGAAAGAGTGAGCATCATTTTTTCTGTTCAGATAAACAAATGCTACTCCAATACCGACCGAGTTATGTCCATAAATGCGAAGGTTGAATTGTGGATTGTTTATTCTTAAAAACTCTCTTTTATACATATATGAAAATGTGTTTTAGGAGCCATGGCAGAATCAGGGAAACATATATACTTATTATCATTATTATTTTAGTAGGTATTAGTTTTTAGAATATATATTATCTACCTTACATCAAAATTCCCTGTTGCTAACCGTACATTTGAATATTGGCAGTAAAGGGGAAGTTTACAGTTGAAGGGAGAAGTTGGTGTCTCGAGGGATCGAGGCCACGTTAGTTCCAAGTGGTCAGAGCACCTACGTCTTGATCCGAAGGTCATGGGTTCGAATCCTGCTCGTAACACTATTTTTTCTTTTCAACTGTCTTTCTATTAAATAATGTAAATAACATAAAAAAACTTATTATTGTAGTTTTTCAGTAAAAAAATATTGGGTCCAAAAAGGCCCACTACAGCGGTTCACGTTACTTTTTTTACTGACAGTAGTGTGAGTGTCAACATAAAAGATTTTTTAAAAATATTCTATATGAGTGTACGTCATAACAAAGTCTGAACCCCTCGTCTCTTAATTTCCGTTTTTTTTTTTTCCATCCTTTCTGCATTTTTGCATGCATACATATGTACATATATATTTCTATTTATTAATGTAACTACATCTGTGTTTATGTGAGTGTAGCATACATTAAGTCTTAAATGTTTTACACATTGACCCAGTGCTCGTGCATGTTATATCACAACATACTGGCTTAGAAATTTGGATACTTTCGTCGATTTCTCTACACTTCTAGTTCTGATTGAGGCCTGGTAGATTTCTTTGTTTTCAGTAAATCAAGACCTTTCCAACAAGACCTCCTTCCTTGATAAACCTTAATTTTACCCAAAATACCCCCTATAAGTTTTTCCTCCTTCACTTTCATGCAAAAGTAATAAATTCAAGCTTCTATTTTATCACAATTCAAAAGACTTTTTGTTTTTATGAATGAATGAATTCCAGATGTACTGACTGAAACAGAATAACACCCAAGAAAGGTGATTATCAACATGGTAAATTTTCTTTTTGCTTTATTTTTTGTATTTGTATTATTTTATTAGTGGTCATATTTTCAAACTTTTAAGGGGAGGCTATGTTAGTGTGAGTCACCTATTTCAAAGCAACTTTTTTTAGTAGTACTAGATCAAAAAATATTAGACATGTATCCATGGGTTCTGTCCAATGTGCCTCAGGAGCAAAAAAAAATTAGATATAAAAATTACCAAAAATTGCTTCCACAAAGCTACATTGAAAAATATTAGACATGTGTATAGGTGTAGGAGCACATAATAAAGTTTAATGTTTTGTGGTGTAATCTGGCTCTGTAAAAGGCTTTTTTTTTTTTTTTAATATATATAAAAGATTCCAAATTTAGATGTCTCAATTCATTACTGCAATATTGTTTATATGTTAAATACATAAACAAACACTCTAAATAAATAAATCTAACTATAAGAACGACTCATTGCATTTAAAGCTATTAAATAAGGTTGGTCCAAGAACAGACCCTTGGGGGACCCCAGCTCTTATACTTTTTAAAGGGTTATATCATCAGCAAAGAGAGCCAGTTCAGCTCGTTGGCTTGGAAAGGTCGTTTATAAAGCCATTAAATAAACCTTGCTTTTTGATCAATTTTCATCTACAAAATGAAAAATTATTGGGCGATGTTAAAAAATAAACAGACAAATTTCCTAGTAAAAAAATATCACTTTATTACAATTTTGATTAGACTCACGGCAATTTATATATTTATATCATCTAAGCATCAGTCAATACAAATAAAATATTATTTTAACATAATTATGGAGTAACTATAATTTGGAAGAAAACTAATTTTGTAAAAAGGTGGGTTAATTATATTAAAATATTTTAATAAATTTTAACAACTCGCTTCTCTACATTAAATTAACACATTTGTTATGGCAATGAAATCATAAATACAGGAATTTGAAAGACGGGTGTTACAAAAAGACGTTATAGGGAATGCTCACTTCATCATTCTGAAACAATGCCCATAATAAAAGTGTAAAAAAAGTACAAAATATAGTTATATAACTAGTAGAGTATAATATGAGTTGTAAAAAAGAATAGTTCTTTTTTTTCCAACATCAAAACCTTAAAAAATAAATGGCAAGTCGAATAAAAGTTTAAAACTAATTTTAAAAATTACATTTACAAGTGATTATCTCAAAGGAATCTAAAAGTAAATCACTACGGATTTCTTCCACGTCAGAGAATATAGGGTTTTTACAGACAGGGCACAGTGTGGACTTATTTAAGCTGTATTCATTCTCCACCATATTTTCTGCGTTGTTACATCTATCTGCTTGATTTCTAGAATTATGATAAGAATTAAAACTCAAATCGTTATAATTCGCACCTTTTTGATTGCAAATAGAATTCCTTTCAGTCATTTTAGCTGAAAATATAACTTTTATTATACAATAAAGTTTAAAATGAGAAAAAAGTACAAAATGTACTCACAACTTATTTCTCTAAGAGCGGTCGCTATCGAGTCCTGGAACTGCTGAAGCATAAACTTCTCATATTTCAGCCTGTTTAGGATTGTTGCTATGTCTCCCTCAATATAATCATTCCCGTCTGTCGACTCAACATCTTCAATGGTCAGTATACTAACGTCATCATCGTCCTGAGGTTTTAGAAAGTTTAATAAAATGAATGAATTTAGATTAGTTTCTCACTCTATATATGTATATACATATTTAAAAAAATGCATACCTCAGGTGTAATTGTATCTAAATCTTCATTATTTTCCAAATTGTCTATACGATTTTTATCATTCTCATCTGAAAAGAAAAAATCATTGTCAGTTTTTTCCAGATTAAATTCGAACAGACATTATTTCTCGTATTGATAAATATATTTTATGATACTTCGCCCCCTGTTACAACATAATGATTATTATTTACATTATAAAAGCCCAAATCTGCACATGCATATACACATATACACTCAGAGAATAGCCTATCACTTCTCACAGCCCAACGGCAATTCCAATGTTTGTCATTTACAATAAATAACAGGCAGCTTTTGAGTATACCCATCCTGAGGTTAGCAGTCCCGGTCAGACCTCGGTCTCATACGTCTACCCGCTGAGGTTGGGCTCCATGGGCTACCAACATCTACGCCATTTCAGCCCCCAAGGCAATCAATTTTTAAAAACCAAATCCATCACTCTCACTAATTCTTAAATACAGTCTTATTTACATACCTCTCACTCAGGGTGGTGGAGTATTCGATATTGCTCCATCACCCTTTACACCTATTATAATAAATAATCAAATTGAAGGTCGACGGTGTACTCAATATTCCACCATCAACCCTCACATATGACAATTTCACGCTAATAAGTACATTTATGCCAATAAATACATTCACTCTCAACAAGGGACACAAAACTATCATTACTATATACAATGAACCCGATTAAACGGGACCCGAATAAATGCTGCCATGTTCAAGCACAATATCAAGTGGCATTCCTGCACATATGGAGCTGAGAAATGGCACCTTTTATTAAGTGGGACATATCGGGCAACCTTTAGCCCAAAAGTGGCATGTGGTAACCTTGTCTATTCTTAAATGAGGATGACCTTTCTATGAGTCAGGTTCAAGGACCCCCCCCCTATCAACATCGTCTAAAAAAGCCAAAATAGGCAGGGTAAGCAGGCCAAAATGACAGTTTTGTCACCATGTAGATCAGTGTGCGATGAATGTGTATTTTGGATGTTGCAATTATTCTACTACTAAAAAATACTACATATTGGATCTGAATAGCTAAAACATAATAGGTAGAACAAGATACTCGCTCTCTACCACGCTAAAGTTGCATCACGTTGCAGACCACAAGAAAAATCTTGGTTGTTTTTTATCAAAATCGTTTGCTGGTTCTCACAGGCTTAGTAGCTTGGTATGTCAGATGCAATGCGATATTTCACCATGTATGAGAGCAGATAGTTCAGGATGATCATAAAGTCATTTTAGCTAAGATTTAACTTTTTTTTTAATATTACCATAATTTTCCCCTTCGACTTGGTTCAGTTTTGATTTAAGTATTCCAGTCTCACCATTCGGATCCTGCAGCTTCTCAGACAGGTACTCTTCCTCTATGGCGTCTCTGTGGTTTAAAATGTAGTGGTTCAGCTCACATTTCTGCCTCTCCAGCTCGTCGACCTTATCCGCCAGGAATCCCTTTTCACTCTTGAGTCGGTGGTTCTCCTTCAGCAAGTCAATCATCTGATACTGCAGCTTGTCGCAGCGGTTTTTTAATGACTTGAAAGCTATCTGCAGGGCGTAGTGCGACGCGGCCGAGACCTTACCGCTGTTGGATTCGCAGATATCCATCATCAACATATCATTTTGCATATAAAAAAGCCATTGAAAGACGTCACTCCCAAAGTTCCAACTTCTAAGTTCTAACTCCAGCAGAACGAAATTGTCAAAGCGGCCGTCAAATCAACATTGATCAGCTGTCAAGCTGGTCGATTCTTGGATCGATCCGTCCCACGTTTTTCTTATTTTATTTCAATTCATTAATTTTAAGAAGAAAAAAAAGCACACCGATAAATGTTTCTGGAATCGGTAAAGCCTAAATTTTGTAATACAGATAAATATTTCATCGTTCAAAGACAAGAAGATGCCGCGAACGATAATAGCATACGATTCAGAAGTCCCTTCTCCAGTGACGGACAAGCGGAACATAAAATTTTCCGAAATGGAAAATAATTTGATGAAAACTTTCCCAGGCTGGAGAAAGTCACAAGGTAAAACATAATTAGCTAGCTTACCATTATTTAATAAACTGCACGGATCGCCTTTTCTCGCATTCTAACATTTGCCGGTGAAATTGTTGAAAGGTTGGCCTACAGCTAAAACTGCTGGGGTGCATATTTTGTATAAAATTGCTTTGGTTTTTAACTTTTGTCCGTTTATACTCGCTCATTTACTTTCATAAGTGAAATTGTTGAAGTTATTACTATACGATTACAGTGCTGAAGTTCATATGGTGTTTGAGATACCTGTGGTCCGCCTGGTCTCGCTAGTTTCCTGTCACAAGTGGAATGGATTGAACTGTAGCTAGAAAGCATGTCTGCTGGACTTTATATAGACTTTTAGATATCTGTGGTCCATCTGTTCTCGCTAGTTTCCTGTCAGAAGTGGAATTGATTGGACGGTAGCTAAAATATTTGACTGCTGGATTGCATATAGTGTTTGAGATGGCTGTGGTCCGTCTGTTCTCGCTGGTTTTCTGTCCCAAGTGGAATTGATTGGACTGTTCTGGCTAGTTTCCTGACACTAGTGGAATTGATTGAACTGTAGAAAACATGTCTGCCGGACTTTATATAGACTTTTAGATATCTGTGGTCCTCCTGTTCTCGCTAGTTTCCTGTCACCATTGAAATTGATTGGACTGTGGCTATAATATTTGACTGCTGGAATGCATATATTGTTTGAGATGGCTGTGGTCCGTCTGTTCTCGCTGGTTTTCTGTCCCAAGTGGAATTGATTGGACTGTTCTGGCTAGTTTCCTGACACTAGTGGAATTGATTGAACTGTAGAAAACATGTCTGCCAGACTTTATATAGACTTTTAGATATCTATGGTCCGCCTGTTCTCGCTAGTTTCCTGTCACCATTGAAATTGATTGGACTGTGGCTATAATATTTGACTGTTGGTCTACATATAGTGTTTGAGATAGCTGTGGTCCGTCTGTTCTCGTTAGTTTCCTTTTGTCCATACCTTTGTTGGAATTATTGATAGGCTGCAGTTGATGATAGTTTTTAAATGGTTTTGATCCGCCTGTTCTCACTAGTTTTTTTATCCGTCAAATTGGTTGGACGATAGAATATATAACTGCTGGAATGCATATTCCCTTGCATTACTCCGTCTGTTCCCACTCATTTCGTTTCACAAGTGAAATTGGTTGACCTACAGCTACTGTATCAGTTTACAAGAATGCATATAGTGTTTGAGATGGCTTTGGTCCGACTGTTCTCGCTAGTTTCCTGACGCCAGTGGAACTGATTGAATTATAGACAGAATATATGACTGCTGGGCTGCATATATTGTTTGAGACGGCGTCCGTCTATTCTCGCTAGTTTCTTTTTGTCCGTAACTTTGGCCGAATTATAGGTTGGTCATATGACGGCTGCAGTTAATTATAGTGATTGAAATGATTTTGGTCCGCTGGTTCTCACTAATTTCTATCCGGGAAATTGGTTGGACGATAGTTAGAATATATGACGGCATGTAGAGTTTTCATCATCTTTAGGTTTTTCTTTTCACTCCTTTACTTTCACCAGTGAAGATAGAACTGTAGTTAGAATATTTGACTGCTGGATTACATATAGTGGTTGAGATGGCTGTAGTCCGCCTGTTCTCGCTAATTTTCTTTTATATGTGATATCGGTTGAACTATAGCGAGAAGAAGCTGCAGGAGCATATAGTGTTTCTCTTGTATTACTCCGTCGCTTCTCACTTATTTTCTTTGACCAGAGAATTGATTGACCTAAACCACATATCAAATGCGTATATGTTTGGGAGAACTGTGGTCCGCCTGTTCTCACTAGTTTTTTTTTTTTTTAATTTTCACATTGGTTTGACTGCCGTCCAGTTTCCTCGCTGATGAGTCCCTATAATGTTTGGAATTACTTTGGACCGTTTGTTCTCGCTAGTTTACTTTATCCGTGATATTGGTTGAACTGTAGATAAATTATATGACTGCAGAAGTGCATATAGTCATTTTAAATTATCCCAAATATAGACAAACAATTTAAAGAAAATGAACAATGGATAAAAAGGAGTGTTCTTTATTTTTCCACAAAATATTTTTCACTTGCGGTGTCTTTTTATTTAACTGACCAGAGTAAAAACATGATCATAGTTAAAAACGTAAACAAAAATAACTGGTGATTTGGTTTTGAGAGCAGGTTGAGAACAATCAAAACATAAGATCTTATAATTGGATAATGCTACAAATTTGTGATTTTGCTTCTTCTTCAAGTATATACTTACGTAACTATTATTCAAGGAGAAGACATCGAGATGCAGTTGAAATCTCTGACTTCGGCCCGCCCGTTCTCGCTGGTTGTCTTTCGCCTATGATGTAGGATGATGATGGTTCCCTCGGCCAGTTTTCGATTTAGCAGATTGTTGACCGCAGTTTGATTAAAACTAGTGGTCTTGAAATTATCATTTTTAATTGGGATTTTACGAAAAAAATTATCAAAGTGAATTATTTGGTGTTTGACCAAATTCATTGTTTGATTAACAACTTGGTTTATCATTTTCAACAGATTTTGATACCCATGGCCGAAACTTGTGATTTAGCTTTTTACGCCAACGTTTGGGCTAATGAGTTCTCTTATGGCAAATTACGATAAACAAATGGCCAAAATAAGTCATTTCGTTTTTCTTATTTGTGAAAATAAGAAACAGACAAAACGACTAATCGTGAATTGATATTTTCATCATGCACAACCGAACACAAACTCTTGTGATTTGGTTTTTTGAAAGGTGCAGTTGGTTAATAAATTAATGGATATCAAAATGAAATTCCACTAGTAGTTCTGCTCGAAAATTATAAAAACAGGTAGCGATTCGGTCTTTAGGATGAAGTTTGTTCGACCTTGTGATTATCTATTTTGTACAAATAAATGAGCTACGCTTTCGATATGTTCACTCAGTGATGAAATAAATGACCTAATCTTGTCATATTGCATTTTGATCAGGTTTTTATTAAACCGAAATGTGGGTTTCAACATTCTCTTCAACGATTGTTTTGATATTGTTTTTGATAACCTAATAACTTGTGAATGTGGTTTTTATTCGAACAAATGACTACATCCTTGACATTAGTCATTTTTATCAGGTTTTGAATTAACCAAAATGTGGCTTTGAGTATCCTATTCGACGATTGATTGGATATTGTTTTTGTCAACCTAAAGTCATCTTGTCAGGAGTCATTTTGATCAGTTTTGATTAACCTAAATGTGGTTTTAATATCCTGTTCAACTATTGTTTCGATATTATTGTTGATTAAATATGATAATTTTTTTAAACAAATAATCATATATTGTCATTAGACATTTCGATCCGAGTTTTGATAAATGTGGCATTGAATGGTTTATTTCACTATTGATTGATTCGATATTGTTTTCGATAACCTAATAACTTGTGAATGTGATTTTTATTCAAACAAATGACTACATCCTTGTCATTAATCATTTTTTAACAGGTTTTGAATTAACCAAAATGTTGCTTTGAATATCCTATTCGACAATTGATTTGATTTTTGTTTTTTGTCAAACTAATGACTTATGATTGAATTTTTCATTTAAACAAAAGGCGACACTATGTCATGAGTCATTTTGATCAGGTTTTGATTAACCTAAATGTGGTTTTCAATATCCTATTCAATTATTGTTTCGATATTATTTTTGATTAAACTGATAACTAATGATTGATGTTTTTAAACAAATGGCGACCCACATCTTGTCATTTCGATCTGGGTTTTGATTAACCAAAATATGGCATTGAACGTTTTATTTAATTATTGATTGATTCGATATTGGTTTCGATCAAGCTCATAATTTGTTATTGGCTGTTTTGTTTAAACAAATAATGAAATCTTGCCATTTGATATTATGTTGACGTTTTAATTAAATCAAAACGTGATTTTAAATATTCTTTTTATAGTTATTCGACATTGGTTTTTTATCAAACTAAGGATCAGTGATTGTTTTCATTGAAAAAAAGACGATTTTTTGTGCTTTAGTTAAACCACGTGGTTTAGAATATTCTTTTTAACTATGAATTACGAATGGCCATATCTTGTTATTAGTCATTTTGGTCAAGTTTTGATTAACCAAAATGTGGCTTTGAATATCGTATTCAACTATTGTTTCTACATTGCCTATATTACTGACAAATTAATGACTTATGATTTAATTTTTTTTAAACAAATGACCATATTCTGTCATTAGTCATTTTGATCCGGGTTTTGAATATACTTTTTAACTATTGATCCGCTATCAGCTTATAACTTCTGATTGTTTTATTCAAACGAATGATAACATCTTGTCATTTGATGACATTATGACGTTTTAATTAAATCAAACAATGATTTTAAATATTCTTTTCAACTATTTATTGGCTATTGTTAATGTAACATGTGTACGTAGTCATTTCGATCCTGGTTTTCATTAACCAAAACGTAGCGTTGAATGCTTAACTATCGATTGATTTGATATTGGTTTTGATCAAGCTCATAACTTGTGATTGATTGTTTTGTTTAAACAAATGATAACATCTTGGCATTTGATATTATGAAGACGTTTTAATTAAATCAAAACGTGATTTTAAATATTCTTTTTAACTTTTTCTTCGACGATGGTTTTTTTAATTTTTATCAAACTAAGGACCAGTGATTTTTTTTATAGAAAAACGACCATTTTTTTATTAATTTGATCTTGTTTTAATTAAACCATGTGGTTTTGAATATCCTTTTTAACTATTGATTCGTAATTGATTTTGAACACCCTAATGACTTATGATTGACCTTTTTTTTAGCCAATTACCACATCTTGTTTTTAGTCATTTTGATCAGGTTTTGATTTTTTTAAACTATTGATCCGCTATTGCTTTTGATCGGCTCATAACTTGTGATTGATTGTTTTGCTTAAACAAATTATAAAAAAATTGTCATTTGATATTTTAATTAAATCAAAACGTGATTTTAAATATTCTTTTTAACTTTTTCTTCGACGTTGGTTTTTTTTTATCAACCTAAGGACCAGTGATTTTTTTTATTGAAAAACGACCATTTTTTAAAATTAATTTGATCATGTTTAAATTAAACCATGTGGTTTTGAATATTCTTTTTAACTATTGATTAGTAATTGATTTTGAACACCCTAATGACTTATGATTGACCTTTTTTTTAGCCAATTACCACATCTTGTTTTTAGTCATTTTGATCAGCTTTTGATTTTTTTAAACTATTGATCCGCTATTGCTTTTGATCGGCTCATAACTTGTGATTGATTGTTTTGCTTAAACAAATTATAAAAAAATTGTCATGTGATATTTTAATTAAATGAAAATGCTGTTTTAAATATTCTTTTCAACTATTTATTCGTTATCGTTATATATTGATATAACGTGTGTTTGTGTTTTTGACTTGAGATTTATATTTCGATCAAATATTTGTTAAAATCTACGATTTTGCCTTTTCTTGAGGTTTATATGCAATATTTTATAATTTTATCTTTATGTAGAAATATCGAAGTATATTTAGTTTTTCTTAAACACAGATATCTGATGAATCAACCAGATGAGACCAATGTAAAAACTCTAATTTTTTAATTGCACGGTCGTTTTGATGTATGTGAATTGATTTTATACTGAAAATTGATAAATCTGGATTTTTGATCCATCTATTTCGGTTTGAATTTGAAGAAAAACTCAATCTCTTCTTCAATACTCAAACTGAATTGAACATTTGTCAACTTAGCGTTTTGATAATTTATTTTAAACCAACGTATTGTACACCCTCGTAATGATCTGGTCAACAGGTTTGATTAAAATGACTACAAATAATTATGATTCTGCCTTACAACTGGTTCAACTGTTCAACAGGTTTGGTGAATTATTAATAGTTTATTTCGACTTTGGTCAGGTTTGGTCGAATAACAAACGCTTACCTCTGTGTTTAGCACTTTTGATCCTTCTAAAATGTTGATCCTTGTTATAATCCTTATAATTCTTGTTAAAATTTAGTTTCATATAAAAAACGTTTTGTTCGTTTTATACCAGACTGGTTTTTGATTTGGTTTTCTCCTGTAAGCAGCAGACTATAGCCCAAAACTAGCAAGGTTCGGTTCATGTCCACTTTTATGTTTATTTGTCTTGTTGTCTTTCATGTTAATAATTTGAGTCGTAGTGTTGATGGTTTAAATCTTATTATTATTACGGTTATTATTGTTTTTTTTTATTATAAGAAAAGCGATGAGGTCTGCTGATAATTCGACCGTCCATAATCAGCCTACATGTCATATGCGTTTTAGAATTTCATTATTTATTAATTTGTTTATAAAATTCCTCAAAACGTTATATATTCCATTGTGGAAATTATTGCCGTCAGATTTCTATTGTCTTTCACATAATTCAAGTAAAGAACTGCTGAAAATTTGCGTTATGCTCGTACTCGTCGACGCCTGATAACTTCAAAATCCGAAAAGTAGTAATAAAACTCTTCCCTTACCAAGTCAGTAATGTTAGTAATGTTAATAGAATCCTGTAATTATTCACAGGTACTTCAACCTATAACGTGAGGATGTGTGGGAGGGGAGATACTTGTACCACCTAAGGCAACATCACGATTTTATAACACAGCAACACCGATGAATAGGCTTGTAGGAAGAATTTTTGAAATTTAAAAAAATATATTAGAAATACAAAAGCATTATTGATAAGTTGGAATTAGTATTTATACGCTTTTATTTGGGAGAGAGCAAAGATACACAGAAATAAAAGTAAGAGGTGTATAAAAGTAAAATAAAAACTTGATGAAATAAATACACATATAATATAATATAAGACAAAGATCTACAGATAGGTAGATAAAGAGAAGATAATATTAGAAAATGTAAGAAAGACAAGGAAAGATATTAAGACCGAAACGTGATGGGTGGAAAGAATAGAGCACAGGAGAGAATGAAGGTTTGAGAAAAAAGAAATAGCTAAAAAGATAAAGCAAGAGAGATGTTAACAAAAAGATGAATACAAAAAGACAAAAAACAGGTTGATATAATAAGAAAATAATGGAAGAGTGAGAAGAATAAAAAATAATGAGACATAACACACAACAAATAATGACACAGAAAATGCATTAGCACTAAAAGAAAGTAGTGAAACAATGGAAAAATTAAGTGATCAAAATAGCAGTACATTTATAGCAAGATAGACACCGAGTAAAAGATAGATAAGAGGGAGGAAGAGAGTGAGAGAGGAAGAGAAAGATGAGAAAGATACGTGGAGAGAGAAAGAGTAATAGAAATATAGGAAAGCAATGAGAAGAATGGAAAGAGAGTGAGAGATAGAGGTTTGGGAAAGAGTGAGAGTGTGAGAAAGAGATAAAGGGGAAGGGAGAAAACGAGGAAGATAGAAAGATACAAATAGAGGGTAGAACTGAAAGATAAGAGGAGAGTGAGAGAGTGAAAGAAAGAAAGAGAGAGAAAAAGATAGACAAAGAAAGATGTGTAAGGGAGGAAGAGAGCGTGGGGAGAGAGAAAAAGTGAAGGAGGGTGTAAGAGAAAGAAGAAAGAAAAAATATAGAAAAAGAGGGTGGAAGAGAGAGTGAGAGAATGACAAACAGACAGATAGATGAACAGAGAATAGAAATACAAGAGAGAAGTGAGAAGAGTGGAGAGAGAGAGAGAGAGAGAGAGAGAACGAGTGAGAGGGAGAGAGAAGAGAGAGAGAGAGAGGGTGAGAGAGGGAGGTAGAGAGAGATAGTGAGTGAGTGAGAGAGAAATAGAGAGAGTGAGAGTAGGAGAGAGAGAGAGAGAGAGAGAGAGTAAGAGTGAGAGTGATTGAGAGTAGGAGAGAGAGAGAGAGAGTGATTGAGTGAGTGAGAGATAAAGGGTTTGGGAGAGTGAGAGAGGGTGGAAAAGAGATAGGAGAGGGAGAGAGAGAGAAAGAGAAAGAGAGATGGTTTAAGAGAGGGAGGTAGAGAGAGATAGATAATGAGTGAGTGTGAGAGAGAAAGAAAGAAAGAGTGAGAGATGGTGTGAGAGTGGGAGGTAGAGAGAGAGTTAGTGTGTGAGTGATAAAGGGTTTGGGAACGAGGGAGAGGGTGAGAAAGAGATGAATGGTAAAAAAGGAAGAAATGGATGTAGAACTGAGAGTGAAAGAGAGAGAGAGCAAAAGAGAGTTCGGGGAGGGAGAAAAAGTGAACATTGATGTTGATTATTTATTTTCATCGTGTATTTAATTTGTGTGTGCAAAAGCTCCAAATTTTAGAGGATCGACTTCATAAATTTGAGTTTCCTAGAGTTAACTGATAGCTTAGAGGCATTAAGGGTTTTCATGAGTACAACAAGCTTTTTAAAATTTTGTCACTTATCATGTGACGATTGAGTTTGATATAATTTTTGTAAGGGTGCAATGTTTAAAAAAAAAAAAAAAAAAATTGTGTGCAAAATTAAGGTCAATTTTTTGTCCATTATAGATCGATGTAAATTGTTAAATATGTTGAATTTTTATGCAATGTTACTAAAGTTAATATAAAACCTTATAATCATTAATTTATTACGAAAGAAATATTTTATCATCGGGCGTGCAGAGATTTTAAATTTTTTTGGTCGTTGGTCATTTTGACGTCAGAGTCAGGGTGACCGAGCCAATTTTTGACCTTAGAACGCTGGCCAATTTTTCCGAATTTCTCCGAATTCCCGTTCAATATATAAAAATTCAAAAGGGCTCAATCTCAAACGAGGCTCTTCCCGTTTGAAATCCAGCATTTTGAAATTTTGTTTGTTTGTTTTTGTCGGTTGAAAGTCGTGTCTGTTGGCAGTGCCGATCTACCCCTGTGAGGTATGAACGAGAGTTGAGTATCGGCCCGTTCGCTGCGTCTTTCTTGGAATTATGCCGTTTTAACACACGTTCTACTGATTTTTACCCTTTCTAAAGAAGCCCCGTCGAAGCAGGAACGTTTTTAAAGTCAGTTTCAACAATTCCTGGCAGGAACGGAAGGATTATAAGCTCGGTGGAATCATACAGATGTGGTGGATGTAGGAGTCGTTTGGTAATGATCTGCTTTACTCCATCAAAGATGGATGATCTTCGAATTAATTTTTTTTCATCCTTTTACCCTTTTTAAATTCACCTGTCGTCCTTGTTTCCCTGTTCTGGGACGTATATTTCACTCGATAAAACAATCAAATACCGATTAAAAGCATGCACTTTCAAAATGTTTAACATTGTTTTTACTTTTCCTCATTATCAATTTGAAGTAGGTTATTTAGCAAAACGGAGTTATACATTTTAAAAGGAAGTTTTCCTGAAAATTCCCTTTTGTCAAAATGCTATTTCGACGTTGTGGAAAGCGTCCTTTCTTTGTTACAGGTCAAGATAATACAGTAAATTCTATAACGTCATGGTGTCAACGAGACTGTCGAGCAATGTCGGAGGAAACGGTTCCGAAGGGACTGTGGAGTGTGGAGGGATCAAGACGAGGCACATGAGCGCACACCAACCTCAATCGCACGAAATCGTACCTGCAGGAGCTGTCAAATCGCCGCAGGAGTATGTCTCGAGCAAACACTTCTTACAACTTCCACCGGAGATATTTCATAAAATCTTCAGCTATACCGGCTACAAGGCGGTGTCGCAGATGCGACTGGTAAGTGTTACACTTCATGACATTTTTTCAACGTTGAAACATATTGGATTCGAAATGTTCAATTCAGTTCAATTGAAGAGGTAAACTTGTCAGAGATTACCAAGGATATTTTCAATGTTGTGGCATTGTATTGGGATCTTCCGTGTGATGAACGTGTAGTTTCATTGTATCAAATCATTTTATCACTGCCAGATGCGTTTTGTCAATTTGCCATCTTCAGTATTTCATAGGTTGGCAAAATGCAATATACAAAACTAGTCCAGAACTGGGCTATGATAAACAGGGACAACCAGTCTACAAAAAGATTTTAAATAGTGAGATTCCCTTTTGAAGTCAGGGATGTGATGAACCTGTAGTTCTTCTTTTCGTTTTTGTTGTCCTTTATTCCATTCTTGATTGTTTATGTATTATTTTTCTTAGGCCATTTATTTTAGAAGGCAGATAATTAGATTAAAAATATGAAGTTTTTTAGCATCACATGTCTGTATAGAATATAGCTTTATTTTTGCTTTTTAGGCCAGCCTCAAAAGGTTAATAGCATGGGGGGTGATAGTTCACCTTTCATCATTCATCAGTCCTTGGAGGGTGTATCACATGCATACACCCTTTTCTCTTTGACTTTATGAAAAGTGACCACTAAATAATGTTTTGAAATGATAATATAAAAATAAAAGAACTTTGAAACAGATATATTTAAAACTCAAACACTTACACAACACAAAACAAAATTTCCCAAGGGCCTTGACTCACCTATAGTAAACAATATAAGTATATTCAAATTTTCTGGAAAAAGACATGAAAGCCGGGTCTCAGTGGGCCCTTCCTCCTTAATCATAAGGACAAGAGAAAGGGTTAATTTGCTGTCTGTCCTGATGGAAGATTAGAAGTGATAACATCCACCTCACAAATTATTGGCACGTAAAATAAAACGTAGCGTTTTTTTTTTAATTTGTTTCTATCCCTCTTGTGTTTTGAAGCAATGTTTATTGTTTACGCACTCTGAAGGGATTGGTTAAGATTTTTATATGTTAGTTTTGTCCAAGATCTCATATGTACAAATGTTTTGTTAATTTACAATTTAAAAAAGTGCATCTTCATCATTTAGTGGTTTTTTTTGTTACCACAAATGGAAAATGCTCAGATTGTTAGGAAAATTTGTGATAATGTGGTGATGGCATTTTAGAAGCACCTTTTGCAAGTGGTTTGCTCGGCTCAGCAGTGGATTGATTTGGAAGACGCTCTGGTTGTTTGCCAACCATTGACGATTATGACCAAAGCTTTTGCCACAAATAACCCACATGAGCCATCACAAACACTCATCTATTACAAGCTTTCAACGCATTTGATAGCAGGTGGATGTTTGTTGGAGTGATATATGGGGCAGACAATTTTCAGACTAGAAAATCTAAATTTAAAAGCAGGATTAAGTCCAAGAAGATGACGTACATTTTGGTGGGATTGGAAGGGAATGCTTTATTATGAGCTTCTTCTTCCTGATCAACTGACTAATAGCAAGGAGGATTGTTTTCCACCAGGATAACTCTCGTCTCCACATTTCTTTGCTGACATACCACCGGATCTGTAAGTGCTTGGCCGAGATGTGCTACTCCATCCACCATTAACAACTCCAAAAGCCAAGTTATATCTTACAAAATGTACATTTGGTAGGATTGGAAGGGGGTGCTTTATTATAGGCTTCTTCCGGTCGACTAAACAGTTAATTTTAATGTATATCTTTATGCTTCTTTGCCAATTCACCAGATATTTTTGGTGCTTGGAATATGTGCTACCTGATATTTATTCGTGCCACATTGCCCCATCAGATTTAGGGGATTTTTTCACTCTGCAAAACTATTAATGGGAAAAGCTTTAATTCACTCAAGGACCATAGAAATGTCCAGGAGTTAAACGCTAAAAAACCTGAGAAGTTCTGAAAGGAGGTAATTACAAAATTACATGGAAGATAGCAACAGGTATTCAATACAATTATTAAAAAGAGAGCTGACTGGAAATATAAGGCAAAATAAGTCAAACTTGGAGCCTTTCTACAGTAAACAAATGGCTTAGAGATGGGAAATGTTACTATTGGGGTATAAAGGGGCTTAATTTTGTCCACTACCCAGGCCCCATTACAACTGCCTTTCAAGACAAACTGCTAGCCATCCATAGAAACCTGTGTGCGTGAAACAAACAAAAGCAAAAAAAAAAAATCTCAAAGGTGCAGCAATAAATCATTCTTCAGACAGTTAGCTCTAAATAGCACTAAAGGATCCTCAAGTCTATGAGTTATCTCAAAACTTGTCTGGACCTACTTTAATGCCCTTGAAAAAATAAATAAAAATATAGCCTAATGCTCTATTGGGTCCCAGTTGATGAGGGAATTTCAGGTAACAAGGCAGCAGAAATACTTGCCAAACCCTAAGGCGCAATCTGTATTGTGGAATAATCTCTAGTCACATCAAAAAAGAATAAGGAATCTTGGGTAACCAAAGAACACAACAAATACTTGGATCAAATAACAGGCATGAGATAAGCAAAAAGACTACTCGAAAAAAAAAACCAATGGGAGAAAGGAAAAATCCTTAACAGAAAGAAATTAAACATTGGCATATTCGCAAGACGTCTAATTAAATATCTTTAAAAAATAGAACTATCAACTGATGACCAATGTTGATTATGTCTAGAAGAGACAGTAATGGCAGAACAAATCCTATGCAACACATTTTAAATAGCTATCCCAATTATAAAGTTTTTTATACTGATGGGTCCAAATATGAAATTAGTGTAGGGTGTGGGATATTTGCTGATGAGTACAACCTCAGCTGGTCTCTATAGAATGAGGCTAGCATATACCCAGTTCAACTTCAGGCAATCAGAAGAGCATTGAGCATTATAAAGGAATCGCAAGGAATTTGTAATGCCATTATTTGCTCTGATTTGAAACGGTCTTGAATCAGAAATAATTTCTTGGTTGACCCATACATTTTAGAAATGCACAATTACCTCTATGAAATCAAAACACTTAACAAACATGTGGTATTCGTTTGGGTTCCTAGTCATGTCGGCATTTCTGGAAATGAAAAAGATGATCAACAGGAAAAGAACGCTGCAAACCATCCACAAAGAACAGATCAATTTCCTCTCCGCCCAGATGATATAGTCGTTTATGTTAAAAACATTATCAAATGAAAGTGGGCGGCAAGATGGAATGTCTGTAGAGATAGTATGAAAGAAATTATGTCAGTTGTACATACATGGCCAACTGAGGACTCAAGAGAAAAAAACTGGTGATTCTCTCTAGATTGCGAATAGGTCACATCAGGCCTAATCCATAATAGGCTTTTAATAGGCAACAACTTTCCAACTTGTCCTTGATGTATGCGAAGTGGAGAACGTATCATTCTGACTGTAAAATATATTTTGGTCCATTGTTGCACTTCGCAACCCTTTAGGCAAAGGCTCAACCTTTTGAGTAAATTAAAGGAGTTACTGGGTCCCCAGTGTTTCTTTCGAAGAGCACTTTTCAGCTTTCTCAAATTTATTGGAATTTATAATTAGATTTAGGCCTTTTTCCAAATTGTTATACCAGTGATTGATGTTTGTCTGCTAATGTTTGAATGAGAGTTGTGCGTGCAAAAGTTCTTTCTTTTTTCAGGAATTTTTGAGGCTGCCAGAGTGGAAATATGAAATAGAAAAAAAATACAAATTGCGGGGTAATAAACTCCAATGCCCAAAATCGCAATTTAAATAACAAAACTAGCTCCCTCAAAAAAAAAAAGTTATTATTTTTGTTTCTTCTTATTGTTAAGTAGCATTACTTTATTTGTCATATTTGAATGGAAGAATAAAAGGATAACAATGAGCCTAACTCGTGCTGAGACTGTGCTAGTCTAACTCCATTATTATTATTGGCCATACAAGCCTATGGGAAATATTTAAATTATGGAACAAAAATTCGAAATTGTAATTAAAAAACAGAAATAAATTTTAGATGTAATTTGGCATACATTTAGCCTTCCAAATTAAGAATTTTAAAATGATAAATTAAAGTTTTGGATGGCAATAGGATAGATTAGTTTATGTGTGAATGTTTGGAGTCGGAGCTTTATAGCACTCAGAAGAGATATAGCTAGCCTAAGATAGAAGGTTTGGATGTTAGGGCGTGAAATAACCTTAGCCGTTAAAACGCCCTTAAAAATTAATAATAATAATGTACTTTTATTGCAAAACAAGAAAAGTTATAAAAATTACATAATATATAATTTAAAGTAAATTTACGGCATGGAGGGACCGTCTGCCGAAAAATTTAAAAAAGTCAGTGTGATGAGCGGGATTCGTACCCACGACGTTCCGCTAAATACACCTCTGCTCTACCACTTGAGCTATGATGACTTCAAATGCATAAGCAGCACTTCAGGCATCTAATCAAATTTTTGCTTCATAAAAGATGTGTTTTGACTTTGAGATTCATTGACAAACCACACCTTGTTCTGTGCAACGACGAGATGCCCATGCGTTAGTCTGGTATGGCCAGTTGGTAATCGGGTCATCAAACCGTTTATGCCCATGCTCTCCATGACCAGATTTGCTAATCTTCCCAGCATATTTTTTTTAGTATCCTCTAGACCCCTTGCAGGATTTTCCGAGTCATCGTTTAGCCATCGTTTGGCAAAACTGTTTTTCAATTTGCTTTCTTTATCTTTTGAATGCTGGTTTATTACCGTTTGATTATTTTAATTAATTTAAAGTACAGATTTAATTTATAGCTAACCTAAGATAGAAGGTTTGGATGTTATGGCCTGAAATGATAAATAAATAAATTAAAATAAATATAGAAAAAAATAAATAAACATATATTAAAAAACAAAAAATCACTAATTTATAATTAATTTCTTATTTAATTGTGTTATAATTCCCGATTTGCACACGTGATAATTGATAATTGAGTGGCATTAAAAACCAGCTTCTCATTTGAATGTTGCGATGGCCGGAGGACCGGGGGGGTTCAGTCTTACAATTCGTGTCGAGGGACGTGGTTGTAGAGCTTCTTCAACCTGATGATGAGCTGTAGGCTTGAAATCTGGATTGTTGAAAACAACTTACTGTGAGTAGGAACTATCTTTTTAAAAAGATTGCTAGTATGGCTTTCTAATTGTCTTGTTTCTCAAATTCTTCTCTTCTTCGGTCTACACATGGTAAAAAAATTGTCCATATGATTTCCTTAGGGATGGATAGTTTGGAGTTTGGAATGGACCCTTTTGTAGCCGGATTAGGCTAGATGAGTAACAAGAGGAACATTTAGGTCAGTATGGATGATGTGGTTGGAAATCATAAAAAAGGGGGTTGACTGACTATTGTTCTGAGTATTTTAGATCGGAGGGATTGGATTCGATTAAAGTTGTAACCTTAGCAGTCTTGTAGAGTTCAATGTCTGCACGTCCAAATGGGGGCCAGGAGGGCAATTAAAGTTTTGTTTACCAGAAAACTAAACATTATGTAAGCTGATTTAATTTCCTTGATAGTATCTTGATTCTCCACTTTTGGAGACAGAATTCAAGGGACAGGTTCTTTATCAGGAGAAAGGATAGCATCATTGGCTGAGGGTGATAGTGTTAATTTGCATACATATATGCATAATGTATATTTATACAGGAAGTATAAATTGAGTAGAGCAGAGGAGCGAGGACACTTCCCTGTGGGACATCTGCTAGAAAAGGATGGATGGGAGATAATGAAGTTTTGTGGGATACTTGGAAGTAACGATCATTAAGTTAGGATATTAGTATAAGGTAATAGGTTGTTGGTAGGATGTTCTTGAGCTTCCACAAAAGTCCTGAGTGCCATACCCTGTCAAAGGAAGTGGTATCCACCAGGTCAATATTGTTTTAGCTCAAGAGAGGTGGAAATAACTTCTACTATCTTCTATGTTGGACAGTTGAGTCAGAAAGCTGAATTGGTGTTAGTTGGGATTTCCTTGTACAGGCAGATCAATAGGAGCTTTTGTAGTATTTTGCCATGGCTAAAATGCTCATGGGTCGGTTTAAAGTTTTAAAATTATAATCATACACTTTTCTATTTTACTATGTTATAAACCAATAAAATAATTTAAATAACATTTCTCCCTCCTTAAAGATTTTATGTTTTTTTGCCTTAGGTCTGTCGGCAGATGGACAAGATTTGTGGTTCTATATTGAATTCGACATTCCAGAAGCTTCAGAACCAAATGCATCATAGGTAATAATTTTTTTTATTTGTTTTAATTACAAGAATGTAACATAAAGTTTTGCCCTCCATTGTACATCAACAAGAAGAGCTACATACTTTCAGTCGAGTTATATATCGGGTTGGTGCAAAATTAATGCAGATTTTAAAAATTGTTTTATATTCGCAAGTGCTTGTCATGTAAACAAATCTAATTGCTCAAATCTAATTTGTAGATTAGAATAAATATTTTTAACTGTTACCTTTTATATAAAATATTTTAGTTTATATTGAATTTTATAAGAGTGAGGACCTGTGAAATTAAATGTCCAAACTAGATTTTTGTTAAATTTATTTGAACGAATTTAAACTTGGGCGAAGTGCGTCCCAAATCGCGCTGGACAAGGCAACATAAGTTTGGAGGGAGGGAAGCATTAGTGAATGCATGGTATAGCAATGGTTCATGGTAGGCCTTCCGTTGTGGATGACAACCAACACAAAACGTTGATTGAAGAAAATTCACGTAAGACAACACGGGAAATTGCAGAACTTAGTGTTGACCGCTTACTGTTTTCACCATCCAAACTAACAGAAGCCAAAAGAAATTGATACTTTGAAATTTGCATGTCTCTTCTGTTGTGCCTCGAAAATGATCCATTTCTTGATTGAATCATCATGTGGGATTAGAAATGGATTCTGTAGGGTAACAGGAGGAGTCAGACAAGGATGAAACACCAAAACACTTCCCGAAACCAAATCCACACAAAAAAGGTGATGGTGACTGTTTGGTGATGTACTGCTGGAGTTGTTCACTATAATTTCCTGAATTGTGGTGAAACTCACAGCAGAGAAATATTGCCAAGAAATTGGCAAAATACATGGGAAACTACATCTTTGTCTTGCATTGATAAACCGTAAGGGGCTGATTCTTCTAGACTTCCACTTTTTTACGCATTTTGATCACTACTTGAAATAAAAATTTTAGAGAATGCAGTGAAGCTGCAAATGGCTTCCAAGACATAATTGTTAGTCGAAATAAAGATTTTTATGTCAGCGGAATAAAAGCGCTTATTAAATGTAGGCAAAGATGTGTAGATTGTGATGGAAAATATTTAGAATAAATTTTCTTTATTTTATAAAAATTGAAAATAGTTTTGAGAGCCTTTTCTCAACCTGCATTATTTTTGCACCAGCCCAATACTTAGGACTTCACCTAGACAGAAGACCGATGTCTTCTGGATGATGGAATCCCCACAAAAGACTTTGTTGATAAAAAAGTCAACAAACGAACAGAAGACCTGAACAACTGGACTGAATCTATTTTGACCTTTCAAACACAACTAACTTTATACAAAATTTACTACGACAACTTGGGACCAGACCATTCAATATGCAGCATATCAGTGCAGCAGTAATTGTCAAAATTCCTATTACAACACCAATCTCACTAGCCACAATGACCTCAATATTCCATTTGCCAACATACTGATCCACATTTCACACCAATCTCTCACAAGTCAGATACGTAAGGCCATACCTAGACAGACTGACCTCAACTCGCACACAAATTTTAAAAATGCAACACCTTGGATAATTACAAAGACTTTTAGGACTGAAATTTAACCCTCAATTTAATATTAAAAACCCAAAATTTAATACTCAATTAATTGAATAGAAGACCAGTTCCACATTGGACATTCTGAGTAGATCCGTGGGGTTCCACCAAGCCATTCAGTATCCAGCACATTTCCATCCTTTGAATTAAGTCTCAGGGTGGTATTGGTGGCTGCAACGATTTAGGCATTGACACGGCGCTCATCACTGTAAAGGTGGCCATTCACGATCGCTCCAAATGGAACCGTGCCAATCCGTACAGCTCCATTTGGAGTGCCTGAAATTTGAGGGGGCATTCATGACCACTCCACAGCCAGTCACTCTGTACACCATCTATTGAATGTCACGATAGCTCAAGTGGTAGAGTAGCGGCGTATCAAGCCGAAGGTCGTGGGTTCGAATCGCGCTCGTGACACTGATTTTTTATCTCAACTTAAAAACCTTAATTAATTGAATGTTATTAATTGGTCAAGCGGACCACGAAAAATAGTGAATTATATTTAGTGGTCTATTGACCAAATTACTTTTTCAATTAATTAATCTTTTTTTGTAAGGTTTTGGTTGAAATGAAAAAGCTAGTGCCACGAGCGGGATCTGAATCCATGGCCTTTGGATAAATACGCCACTGCTCTACCACTTGAGCTATCGTGACTGACAAAAAAAAAAAAAGATTAACGTCTTATTTATATTTACTCCAGCTTGTTACCCCCTTGATTTGAAAACAAAAGACAGTCATGAGAGAAATCATCACTACATGAAAAGTTGGCAACCACATTATGATTTCTCGCTTCAGGGATGAACTACAAAGAACTTAAGTTCTCTACTACGAATTCTGATCAGCGCTTAGGGGATATCAATACCGCATCTCTCATTGCATTTGTATCCTTTGTTTTGAAAAGGTCGACCCGACCAACTGGTTGAGAACCGAATTTCTTTTATTTCTATCATGGTAATCATTGCCAACCACGTTCCATAAACAAAGTAAATTTTCATACAATTCAATCACCTCAACAATAAAATCTCGATTGGAGCTCATTGCCAATAAAGAAGAAACGTTCGGACACTTCGCCAAAAAACATGGGTTTTTCCATTCACGAACGAGCCATGCCATTGTCGTGCCATAGATATTTGGAGTGGCGCGATGGAGTTTGGACCGGTCGAATATTCGGCACAGCCAGGCACGCCAGTTCAGTTTTGCCATTGACGTGGTTTTTGGAAAGGCGTCGCTCCGTTTGGACTGCTAGGAGCGATCGTGAATGGCCACCTTACGGTGACCTGGGTTCGAATGCAGGGCACTTATAAATGAGCTTTTTTAAAAACACTGACACCACGAGGTGATATATGACCTGTTATGAACCCTCGTTTAAAAAATAAAATAAAATAAATAAAAGTCTGAGAGCTTCTCATTATCTACAACAACCTCATCCTTTTGTCTATGAACTGATCCGATCCCAATTTCAAAAATTTCCATACCCTACTGCCCAAATCTTTGTCCACCCTAGCCTTGAAATCTTCTCGCCCCTTAATCCTTCATATTAAATTGGCTGTTTTGTATTAATGTGTCCTCTGGCGCCATAATCTCTACATTGTTACCAAGAGAATAAAACCATATAAGCAAAGATTTGTAAAAAGTACTTTCAAGTACAGGCTTCAAATAAATAAATGTAAATAGTAAGTTATTAATGGCCCTATTTTATTGTCAGGTTTCAAAATATTAAGGGGAAAATGCCGAGGAGGGAGTCAGCCAGGCGAAACCACCCTCTTGCGTGCGAGAGCGATATAATCGAAACCCTCCACATGAGATTGACTCTACTTCAAATGTCGTTCGGCAAACACATCGAGCGAAAGCATTGTTGTTTTTTCGCTGGAGAAGTAAGTTCACTTATAATAAATGACTATATTGCCCACTTTTATGCTCCTCCTCTTATTTTTTCCTCTGTATGTTTTTCTCATACTTCTCTTCCATTCTTCCAGTTGTCAAGCTCTAGGAGAAATGTTTGCTCAATAGCAAGATGTTAGTTTTTTGTTTGTTAAATATGTTTCTGAAAATGTCCTACGAATAGAGAAAAAAAATCTGTTGGTAACAAGTAATTTTCTTTAGATATTGAAATTTAAAATATTTAGTATAAAAAAAATATATTTAAACTAAAATCAATTGAAATTTTATAAAGAAAAATCAAACTATAGTTTATTTACTGAATCATTAAAATTTTTATTTTTTACGTATAAAAACAAAATTGTTTAAAAGATTGTTTTTTATTGTACATAAATCATTCTTTTGTACCTCCTCAGATCCTCGATGAAGTTTACCGAATATTGCACTACATCAAAGTTACACCTAAACTCGCCAGGCCTTACAGAGTGACGGACGAATTGTTCGATCTGTCCACTATGGCGATGGAGTATTTCAAAGAGCACATTGAACCGACTCTCCCCGAGATAGCTTATTTTGGAACCGATTTCTTCGATTTCTCCAGTGGCCTCCAACGTAAGTGTAAAACAGTATAAAAATTTGTGTTAACATGTTCGTTACGTGATTTGTTTGTAAAGCTTCTCCCGATTAAATTTTTTTTTTCTTTAAAAAATCGTAAAATAAATTCCAAACAGTTGAATAAAAAAAACAGCGTTCATAGTAATGTTGCCGAAGCGATATGAAAGCCCTGAGATACTGATTCGATGCCAAAAATACCCCCCAACACCGTACAACAAGCTTCGAAAGCGCGGGTTTTGTGTTGTTCTGGAACCAGGTCCACGGGGAAGGTTTAGTGTGTCGTTCCAAAATAAAAAAAGTGATGAATGTGTTAAATTGGCCTCTACTTATTTTGTAAGGAAGGTAAACCAAAAGATATATCTGTTGTAAAACCAGTACTGTTTTAACTTCTCATAAGCAGGCACCAATCGGGAATGGGATTTTGCCTGCTAATTAGAAGAGCCTATATATTATTTATATTCTCTATTTTCGTAGTCCGCTTGACCAATTAATAACATTCAATTAATTAAGGTTTTTAGTTGAGATAAAAAAGTCAATGGCACGAGCGGGACTTGAACCCACGATCTTCGGCTTGTTATGCCGCTGCTCTACCACTTGAGCTATCGTCACCTCGATCCACTCGGACACCAACTTCCTATCTCAACCCCACCTTTTGAATTTTCCCTCCTTTTTACCATTTTTCAAATGTCGTGTAATCGGGTTGGATTCTCAACGACAATGCCGTGGCCATTTCATTTGACGTCGAAAATCCAACCCGATTACACGACATTTGAAAAATGGTAAAAAGGAGGGAAAATTCAAAAGGTGGGGTTGAGATAGGAAGTTGGTTTCCGAGTGGATCGAGGTCACGATAGCGCAAGTGGTAGAGCAGTGGCATATCAAGCTGAAGATCGTGGGTTCAAATCCCGCTCGTGCCATTGACTTTTTTATCTCAACTAAAAACCTTAATTAATTGTAATTATTTATATTAAAAGAAAGAAAAAAGTGAATTCAAACAGCTATATGGATGATTCCATTTCTCATGGATTTTTATCACTCCTATCTTTTTTTCTCTGATAGAACCTTTTTTTCACATTCATCTCTGTATCAGTTTGTCACAGTCGTAATCTGAAAACTGTCTAGCTGAGTTGAGAACTGACTGGAAAGTGCCAAACATGTCTGATGGTGTGAAAATTCTGGTACTAGGGTGACCAAGGCAGCTCGTAAAATTTTTACTGCGTTCGGTGATGAAACAGTGATGTTCTGCATTACATTTCCCAGGGTAAATTTCCAATAATTTCCCCGAAGGAGAACCGGACACTTCCAAAACTTAGAAGAAAATGCTATGAAATAAAATACTATAATGATTATCAGCAAACAAAGAACAAAATAAAATATTTTTCTTTATAAAATAAATTTTATTCAAACTAATTTTCCTTTTAATACAAATCAAAATGCTAGACAAATTATAAATTCATTATAAGAAAAAAGAGAAAGTCCCTTTTTCCAATCAATTTTTCTTACGGGAGCTTTTTAAACAAGTAGACCAGAGCCTGGCACCAGACACATTGTCCCGATGTGGCCGTATGAGTTCCCCTCGGCTGGTAGGGGCAGCCCTTGTTTAAGGTCATGGTTCCTTCAAAGTGTGCTGCAACAAAACTGTAACGGAGCACACTGCCCAAAAGTGGTTCAAAAAGTTTACATCAGAGAACGACTGGATTGAAGATGAACCACGTTCGTTGACAGATACAGACCATTGTAGACCTGTCTTGACAAATTGAGGAAAGCGGTCGAACTTGATTCGAGTCAAACATGTCAAGAGGTCACCAGAATGTTCATCGTAAGCGATAAAACCATTCATTCACTCTAGCTCGACTTGAGAAGAATGCTGAGCAAATGGGTTCCACATAGATTGACAAACGTTCACAAATTATTTAAAGAATTCTTTTTTATATATATCGCAAAAGAAAACAAAAATAAATTGTTAAATTTCAATTTCAGACACATCGAATAACAAAACGTGGATGTTTGAATCTCCTCCTCACAACAGTGGCAGCGGCAAAGTTGAATATGAGTCACCGGGGCCCAGCGAGGACAGGGTGGCCGATCAGCCCGTCTTGCAGTCCCAGCCCCAGACAAATATGTTCCTTCGCAAAAGGATCCGCAAAATCAAACAGGGCATGAAAAAGTACGCTTCCATTCCCGGGAATTGTATTTTTTTAGTCGTGAATTTTCCTATAAATTTTATTTCTGTTATACAGGTACAATTCGCAATTAACGATACTCAAGAGGGAGCTACGGTCATGCAAGTCGAAAATGGCGGATCAGCAACAGCAGTTCCATGAGTACGCTGCTAGAATGGATGATTACGATAAGAAGAATGAAGAGACTTCAAGAAAATTTAGCACCCTTCTTCAGGTATTTTTTTTTTTTTTTTAGATCTTTAAATACATATTAATGCTTTAATTATGATTTTGTTTTAAAGGAATTAAACAAGTGTAAAACAGAGCTTCAATATTGGAGGTCAAAATCGCCCTTGAGTACGCTTTGCGTCGCTTGTAAAGCGTCGACAAGCGCGCCGACGGGGGAATTTCAGTTTTTTGGCCTTTTTGATGAGCCGCAGCCTTCGACGTCGTCGGCCAGCGACGAGATGCCCATCTCCTGGAAGGCTTCACCCAGCCCAGTTGTCGTCAAAGAATCCAACGCGGACGAAGAAGAAGTCAAAGCTAGGCAGATCGTCGGTGCAAAGCGCAAATCGACCTCCGACGAGACGCCCACGACGCACAAAAAACAGAAAAAGACGCGTTGTTTCAAAATGCGAAGTAAATGCAGCTAGAGCGTCGCCGAGCTTTATAACGTTTTCCTCTCCTCCCGATATGCTTTTTCACTTTAGAAAAAAACAAAAATTTCAAACGATACCGGACAATCTGTGAGTTTGTTTCTGTGTCACATTCGTCCAGCCAGTGACAAACAGGTGATATACGTACATGTATTTTCGAAGACTTGTTATTCACCTTACACCTTCAATCTGAAATGTAGTTTTGTATAGAACTAAACATATTTTCTTTTTATTTCTAACTTGTATCCCTTAGATGTACATACATTGAAATTCTAAAATTCTAAAACAAAAAAAATATTTAAAAAAAATAGAAAATTAAAAAAAGGATATGATTATTTTAATAAAGTGCTTTTTTAAGGGTATTTAGTTGAGACATCAGCTGATAATAAAAATTCTGAAATTCAGTGATAATATTAATGGAATGGTGCAAATAGAAAAAAAATGAATCTTTTTTGGGAACTTTTTTTGTCTCATTATTATTGTTTATTTTATTATTTGATCCATTATATTTTTTAGACAATTAATATTTGTTGTAAAGCAAGCTGGGTTTTTAGTAAAGACACGTTGAAATCGATGTTATTACAATTTGTCATACTTTGTTTAACACTATTTATTTCCTTTATTCTAATTTTTTTTTTGCTTTTTTTATTTATAAGCTTGTTATTTATACTTAATATTTTGTGGCATTGTATATAAGTAAATAGATTTTGAACTTAATTCAAGATGTAGTCTTATTTGTATATTTTTTAATCATCACATAACAAGATCGGGTAAATTAACGTTATTTTAAGGCCAATGGAAGTGTAATTACGAAGTTTCAAGACTTTTTTTTAAGTACTGGGCCGATGACCAGATGTTACCATTTAAACGTGTTCATCAATTAAAAAAAAAAAAAGTTTCTATAAAATATAGTGTATTGAAAATAATTGAAATTGTACCAATCTTTTACATCAGGTAAAAGTCTTGAAACGTTGTTGTTATACTTTAATATTACAATTTTTTTTCAAATTTCATTTCTTTCTTAATCTTTTGGATTTCTGTTTTGTTTTAAAAAACATCTGTGCTTAAAAAACACGAGTGAATCTTTAATATAAATACTATCGATCGATGTAAAAAGAATATTATATATATTAAAAAAAAAATTAACTAGAAGTTATAAATGTAATAGTCAGAAGAATAATAGTACTTTTTAAATTATAAATGTTTTTATGATTACACTTTGCGCTTTGTAGACCAGTGTTAGGGAAATGTTAGCTACTGGTAGTGGAATGTCAATGTTAGGTGGCTTAACATTTTTTAAATTAGGTTATTTGAAATTTATGGTTATTAAAAATCAACTGATCTCTGAGTTTTTTTATTTTGTTTTGCAAAGCTTAAGGCATTATTAGTTAAATCCTGTTAGCATTTTAATCTGGAAAAAAAATGTGTTCAGTTATTGCTTGTATATTCACCATGTTCAAGTAGATTTACAATTTTATTATTTTTTTTTTATTAAAAAAATTATTTCTGCTATACAAACTTTTTTTTTTCTTAGTTGTCTCTTTGTATGGATACGCGATAATTCTAAATGTATACTATTTTAAATATTAATGTGCATCCCAAGAGGATTGGTAGGAAGTAAACGTGTGTAAATCCCCCCCCCCCCCAATCGGAGCTTAAGTACGGTTTAATCATCTGAAAACCTCAAAGCTCGATTGTGCGTCAGCTTGAAACGCGCTCGTCCGCCAGCGCGGTAATTCTCATTGTGCAAGTATTACAAATTTTTTATTTTGAAAGTTTTTACTTTGGTCCGGCTATAAACGGTAAATCTGGATAATGGCAAATGGGGTAGTTAAAAGTAAAATTTTAAAAAAATTTATATTTCAGACTCTCTTGTGTACCTTAATGTATGTTAAGCCTTGAAATTAATGTTGTTATCGATGAAATTATCACCTTAAAAGATGTAATGAAAAATTCATGCACTTTATTTTGGTAGAATAAAATTATTGGTCATAATACATTGTTTTCACTATATACCCAACCCAGCCTACAAATCTTAACAATCATCCACGTTTTAATGTTTTATTTTTACATAAACAAAACATTGAAATGTTCATGTTTGATTTTTTTTCCTGATCAACGAAAACTTAACGTTAAAACATTAAACGTTTAAAAATGGCAAGTCGGACGCCCTAACAGCTCGGCCATCGGTTTCACGCAGACTACGAGCAGTAAGGACCTCAAAGCAGTTAAAGCAAGGGTGAGAGGCATTTTCGGGAGTTGATTAATACCAAGATTCCTGAGTGTCCCCCTTCTTTTTAGTACGCTCAGATGTGCATCCTCGTGGCCCAACTACTGTGCAGAAATGTTTCTGGTGTAGTTCCATGAGCATTTCCTTCGATTATTTTCGTGGCTTGAGGACTGAATCGAGCTTCTTATGCCATCGTAAGATTCAGAACAAATATTCCCTCTCATCAGAGGCCCATTTCGTGCACAGAGGGAAGTTTTGATGGCGACACCTGATATCCCATGTCATGGAGATGTGATTATACCGCTGTATTATTTTGAAATGATTCTGCAGGCACAAGTACAGCACATAGAAGAGTGTCTCCATATCAGCCCCACATCTATATTCGGCTGGTACGTTGGGATTTGTTCTTTTAACATTATTTTTCAACACTTGAATCCAATCTGACAGACTGGTACTGCTGCATCTCTCAGCGGACTGTCTTGTCCTTTATCCCATAAAAGGGGGTGTCCCTCAGGGCAACATCCTTTTACACCTCCTATTCCAATAAACAAATTTGACATACCTGCTCTCTAACATTGCTCTTTTGCTGACAACACAGTAATGCTACATTGATGAAAAAATCCAATTTTTATAAAAATCAAATCTATTTTATGTTGTTCGGATGAACTTGGTCGGAAATCAGTTAAATCCCCAATTCCTTTCACATTATTTTTCAATAATTAAATCCAATCTGTCAGACTGGTACTGCTGCATCTCTCAGCGGACTGTCTTGTCCTCCTTCCCATTCAAGCGGGTGTCCCCCAGAGCACCATCCTTACACCATTCCTATTCACAATAAACACATTTGACATACCTGCTCTCTAATGCTCTTTTGCTGACAACACACTAATGCTACAGCATTGATGAACAAATCCAATTTTTATAAAAATGAAATCCATTTTATGTTGTTCGGATGAACTTGATTGGAAATTGGTTAAAGCCCTCGTTCCTATTATTTTTGAACAATTAAATCCCATCTGACCGACTGGTATTGCTGCACCTCTCAGCGGACTGTCTTGTCCTTCTTCCCATTCAAGCAGGTGTCCCCCAGAGCACCATCCTTACACCATTCCTATTCACAATATACACATTTGACATACCTGCTCTCTAACATTGCTCTTTTTCTGACAACACACTAATGCTACAGCATTGATGAAAAAAATCCAATTTTTATAAAAATTAATACATTTTATGTTGTTTGGACGAACTTAGTCAGAAATTGGTTAAATTCCCCGTTCTTTTCACATTATTTTTCAACCATTAAATCCAATCTGACAGATTGGTACTGCTGCATCTCTCAGCGGACTGTCTTGTTGCAAGCGGGTGTCCCCCAGAGCACCATCCTTACACCATTCCTATTCACAGTATACACATTTGACATACCTGCTCTCTAATGCTCTTTTGCTGACAACACACTAATGCTACAACATTGATGAAAAAATCCAATTTATAAAAATCAAATCCATTCTATGTTGTTTGGAACTTGGTTGGAAATTAGAGGAATGTAGAAATAGGTCTGAAAATGTTCAAAGGTAAACAAAACAGTTTTTTTGCCAAACTTTAAGTGCTTCATTTTATTATAAATTTGTTTTATTTAATAATTTTTTTAATTTGGATACAAATTTGCATAAATGGAATGGTTTAAAATGCTGGAAAGGTGGAAAAAAATAAATAAAATCCATTTATTTTATTTCTATTTTTAATTATTTGGATATCTCTATGTACATACTAAGTGGACTTTTTTTAAATTTATGTCTATTATTTTATTTGTGATGTTTTATATTATATTTGAAAATCTAGTGCTCTGTTTTTGTTTTTTCTTTTTTCTATTTGTTTTTCGAATAAATAAAAAATAATAGCAAGCATCACTCCTATTACGAATAAAATTTGTGCTACTAAAGTTGCTTCGTATGTGACAGCGTCGCTTCCCTCCTTGCCTAGGCAGTGCGGTCGTTGATGGTGCCACTTTAAGTCTTCTCTGAGCAGTATACCGCTCTCACGTACAATCATTATACTGTGACATTATTATTTTTATTGTTACAAGTAAAGTAGATGTGTTTTATACTTACCCTTTATAAGTCAGCTCTCTAAAAGGTGATTTTTTCCTAATGACAGTCGTAGTCCACAAGAGAAGCATTTCTATCTCAGACAGTGCGCATTTCTCCGAAGTGCTGAATGATTTTTCTATCACCGTGTAAAGATTCGATTCCTGCCCGTACAACGCTGTGCCCCCTTTTTGTACCATTTCAATTCCAGTTGTTAAATTTATAAAGTTATCTTTGTCCGGAGTCGGGCCCTTTAAAGCTTTTTCATACGCTTTGGTCACCTTTTCACTAATGTTGCCCTGGAAAATGTTTTGTCAATTTAACTTTTAAATTAATAGCTGGCATACTTACAGTAAAATGTGTCCTGTGGTAAGACAGATTTTCAGCATACAGTTTTATAGGACTGTCGATCAATTTATCTATACTGTTTATGTTTTTTGGTAATGGCGTTAATAAAAAACCGACCAGCTCTGCTCCGTAGAAAGAGTAAATAAGTAAGCTCATTAATTCCAAGAATATGCTAAGTACTCTTGTAGATAATCTCAGAGAATCAACGTAAAGTCCTAAAATATGTTTAATTAAATTTAAAAATTAATTAATGATTCCTGATTACTGATTTATATCAGCTCAAATCTGCACAAGCATGTACATACACGGAGCTGTGCTTATCACTTCTCGAACCTCTCCGGTAATTCCAGATTTTGTGTAATTTACAGTAAATCAACGATGAGCCTCAAGAATCCCCCAGTTGGCAGTCAGACCTTGCAGTTTGGGTTCTAAAGGCTATGCAGCTCCCAATGCATTCTCTTGCATGAAACCAATTCACCCTCTCACTCACTCTTAAATACATTCTTACTTGTTTACATAACAATCACTGAGAGTGGTGGAGTACTTGATACTCCTCAACCACCCTTTACACTTACTTATTAATATTCCATCCACACTAATAAATACATTCACTTTCATTACATACAAGAGGACAGAAAAATATAAATCCATTCACATTCTCACTCATTCTTAAATACACTGACAGGCAAAAAATTCCGCCTGATTTTTTTCATTTTGTCGATAAAAGAAAATTCTACCCTTAATTTGTCTCATTGTTTTTACCGATAAATATTTGTTTATGCTATGTTTTAAATTGGGAATATCAATTAGAGGTAAACACACTTAATCCTTAATCCAAAACAAGGATAAAAGATGTTTCAATGTTTAATTTTTACGGAATTTAAAATGTTTATTCAGTCTTATTTGAATTCTGAAGCAATAAACTGTTTAGTACAATTAATTAAGGTTTTTAGTTGAGATAAAAAAGTCAATGGCACGAGCGGGATTCGAACCACGATCTTCGGCTTGATACGCCGCAGTTCTACCACTTGAGCTATCATGACCTCAATCCACTCAGACACCAATTTCCCTTCTCAACCGCACCTTTTGAAATTTCTGCGGTTGAGATGGGAAGTTGGTGCCCAAGTGGATCGAGGTCACGAAAGGTCAAGTGGTAGAACAACGGCGTATCAAGCCGAAGATCGTGGGTTCGAAACCCGCTCGTGCCATTGACTTTTTATCTCAACTAAAAACCTTTATTAATTGTAATGTATTAATTGGTCAAGCAGACCACAAAATTAGTGAATTTAAACTGTTTAGTTTTCATCTTTGTTTAATTTCAATTTTTTAAACTTAAAAATGCCAATTAGTGCTGAGGATGTTGCGCGTGGTGTAGCACTTACTGATGATGGACATTCCATCAGGTAAGCGGCTATTGCCATCGGAAATCCCTATGAAACTCTGCGAGATGCGATTAGATGTTTTTGATAAACTGGGTCCTACCTTAGAAGGTGAGGTTTTGGACGCCCTAGGGTAACAGAATCACAGGATGACCGTTTTTTGACTTTGAGAATTTTGTGAAACTGGCAGCTTACTGATGATCAAGCGATTCGTCAGCTCCAGGAAGTTAGAGCTGTCTAAATTTATGAATGCACTGCTCGAAGAAGAATGAATCAGTATGGACTGATGGCTTTTCGCCCCGTAACAGGACCAGAATTGACCAGAACACCCAGAGTTGCACAGCTCCCACTTTCTCAAGAACACAGCCATTGATCATTAGACGATTGGTCTGCTGTACTTTTTACAGATGAGTGTAGATTTGCTCTATGATCTCCAGATGGGTGTGACAGTGTGTGGAAAAAACGAAATGAAAGGTACGAAGCCTGTAATTTTTCCCAGAGCCAACCTTTTCAAAGTAGCTCAGTGATGGTGTGGGCAGGAATTTCAATAAAGAGTCGCACAGAGTTAGCTGTTGTTCGTGGAGGTCTTTGACGGCCACTCGTTATGTGGATGAAATTTTGGAACATCATGCCTTGCCTATCCTCGATGAAATCAGCGACAATCCAATCCTAACGCACGATAATGCCCGTCCACATGTCGCTTGCATAGTCCAAACGTACCTTCAACAGCATAACACCAGGGTCTTAACCTGGCCAACCCTTTCTTCAGACTAGAACCCCATCGAACATTTATGGGATAACCTCAAAATATGAATAAGAGTACGTTCATCACTTCCTGATACACTCCTCCATCTTGAAAGTTCTCTTCGTGAAGAATGTGCTGACCTCCAGCAAAGAGTCATTTCCAGACTGGTTGAAAGTAAGCTGAGGTGTCTTCAAGCTTTAATTAAGGCAAGAGGAGGAACTTCACGATATTGAAATGTTAATTAAAACTCTAAAACAAAATTAAAACAAATTTTATCTGTCCGTCTTTTTAAAAAATTTTAAAATATATTTTTGTTATTTTTCATTTTCCTTAGCAATTGAAATTTTTTAAAACTTTTTCAGACAAATACTCAATTATTAAATGTTAAAAAACGTTAAACTTCATTAATATATAAAAATATATACAAATCAAGTTATATTACAAGTGTGCAGAATTTTTTGACTATCAGCGTACATTCTACCCTATTTACATGCCATTCACTCAATTAGGGTCGTGGAGTATTCCATATTCCTACATCAACCTTTACACATATTACATAGCTAAGGGTCGATGGGTACTCAATACCTTCCGCCCTCTTAAATAAATGTTCACACTAATAAATACATTCACTCCCAACACACCTACGGATCCAGAACGATAATTACTATACAATAAATAATCCTGTTCTTATTCTGATATCAGGTAGGAATCCTATGTGCTCTTTGTATGGAGCCAAGGAGGGGCACCTTTCAATTAGGTGGGACACATCGAGCAACCTTTCTTTTCATGGCGGACACATCGTGGGCTTTGGCCCAAAACTGTCTGTGTCAACCTTGCATGGCTTATTCTTCATCAGGTGAGGATGATCCTTCTCAGAGTCAGATGGTTCCGAAAAAAAAATTAATTAATACAACTGTTTACCTTGCTGGCACATGGTTCCAATGATGAGCAGAATACTGGCAGAAAAGCTCGCGTCGTTGGGTGGGTTATCCTTGATTTTAAAATTCCTAATCAGTCTTAAGATCAACCCGGCCAGCAGGATCATGCAGAACGTGCAAGCCCAAGAACCCATCGTAAAAGGCATTGCGAACGCGGAATAAGCGGCAAGCGTGGACGGGTGTTTGAAAACGAAACATGTTCTAAAAAATTAAATATTTACAATACAAATTTACCAAGTGGGCCTTGCTTCGAACCGACCTGAATTTCTTTAGAGGAGGAATGAAGAAAGAAATGCTCAACCGTTCTGAAAATATTCTTGAACAAGACAGGCCGAGATCAGCTTCGCCTAATTCTATCGCTCTAAACATTGTTCCTGGGTCAAAATGGCCCAAAGTCTTCCGATAATAACCCCAATCGTGTGTAGTATTAAATATTATTCTGTAATTATTTTTTATTTATTTGATAGATGAAAATTTATTGTTAAATACTACTTGATATAGGTCATATCAAATATACAACCTAAAATTGTATAATTTTTCTAACTGTTTGTGCACTGTAAATCCAAATCTTGACAGAACATCAAGCTGAGGATCCAATGTGAAATTTAATATCTGCTTTTCTGCGTCTATCTCTTTTTTTAGTTGCAGATTGGTCAGCTGTAATTTTATACAATGAGCGTTTAATTATTTATTATCGGTGATACGATTAATTTGCATCACTTACAACGATAGACCCTTTGATCCTGTGGCCTTTGAGATCGTTGCGAGGCAGTTTTTCTTTCATGGTTAATTTATATTCGTCCCAGAATCCAATCGAGTTCATAATTAGTGGGGAGAGTACATGAATTTTGTACAAATCATAAATTTTCCCTTTTCCCAATACGGCGACTTCACTGTCAAAAGGGATATCAACGTGTTCCAAGTAAGAGAAAGCGATTTCAACAGTCGGTTCATAAATCAAAATAATATTCGATGCATTCAGCATCAATCCTTGAGAAATCTAAAATAAAAAATTAATTTACAAACAATACTACAATGCATAATTTAATATTTCTTTGTTTGATAAACAAAACTACATACTCTGCAATTGCTTTATTTATTTTTTAATAATTAATTTTGTTTGAAACTTGCATTTCACAATTTCATTTCCTTTTTATGACAAACTATGTCAATCAAAAATAATTCTATCATCTCCGATCAACCTCATCTATCTATTCTCAATGTATATTCCAGTTATACTACAATCCTGCTGCTTCACTGAATGTCTCACCTCCATCTAGATCCAATTTAAATGTAAAAAGAAAATAGGTCAACTAATCCACCAATGAATAAGCAGGACTGACAAAAAGAAACTGAATAATTTTCAAAATTAAATCTTTTTAGCAAGGATATAATTTTTGAGCTTATATCATGAATTTCATTACCTGCATGGTTGGGTTATGTTTTTGAGATAAGAAAAACACTGCAATTAATTGACTACTTACCCAAAGATCCAACAACCTACCAACTCTTAAACTATTCCTAAAAAGACAATCCTATGAACAAAGATTTAACTTTGAATTACTACTATGGCAAAGACATCATTAAGAACAAATACAAATTACAAAGACAACTTAACCAATAAAGATGTATCTCTGATTTATTACTACTACAAAAATATCTCTAACTACAAAAACACATTTCAAACCAATAGACTATTTCTACAAAGACAACCCCCACCAACAAAGATGCTACACCGATTTAATTACTACTACAAAAACATCTCTAACACCAAAAAGCAGATTATAAACCAAATGAATATTTCTACAAAGACAACCTGATCAACAAAGATGTATCTCTGATTTATTACCACTACAAACATATATCTAACTACAAAAGCACATTACAAACCAATAGACTATTTCTACAAAGACAACCCCATCAACAAAGATGATACACCGATTTAATTACCACTACAAAATCATCTCTAACATCAAAGAGCAGATTATAAACCAAATGAATATTTCTACAAGGACAACCTGATCAACAAAGATGTATCTCTGATTTATTACCACTACAAACATATATCTAACTACAAAAACACATTACAAACCAATAGACTATTTCTACAAAGACAACCCCCACCAACAAAGATCTCTATCTACAAAAACATATTACAAACCAGTTGACTATTTCTTCAAAGACATCTCTAACAACAAAATCAGATAACAAGCCAGGTAACTATTTTCTACAAAGAAAACCCACCAACATTGATGAGCCTGATTTAATTAATAATGCAAACAACAGCTCTAACAAAAAAACAAACTATAAACTATTGATTATTCTTGCAAAGTTAAAAAATGTCTAGTTAGAAATAATTCTTAATCTGCGTAACTCTTACATTTCATTTATAAATTTTCATAAATTTTTTTAACCTTAACGACAAGCCAATGTTTTAGACAAACCTCCAGAAATATTTTTTTATGTTGGCTGCATCTAAAGTCGAAAAACGTTCCTACTGGGTGGTGTTTAGATTGAAAAACGTTCAACCAGTCTTCATTAGCCCTGAGCATACTTGACACCGTCAGCTTAGAGTTGTTGCCTTCCAGTGCCGTTTTCAAAAGATCTTTTCCATCTAAAATAAATAATTGAGAAAGTGTAAAATATATGCATGTCTGATATAATGGAAAGTGTCTACGTTTAGTATTTATTAGCAATTTATTAACAACGTTTTATTACACTAATAATTATTGTTTATTCTTAGTTTGAAAAATGTAAATAAATAAAACTAGCAATATTTCTCAGTGCTTCTCTCAAATTGTGTTTTTATCCCTTACCTTTTAAACTGCATACAAATCCGTTAACTGTGCCTGTATTTTTGTACATAAAATATTTTATGACCGTTTTGAAAATTGGCGAGATGCTGCATGCTGTTATGAAGCATGATATAAATAATAATTTTGAGAATAACATTTTTTCCTTTTTGTAAGCGAAGTTAGTTTATCCTACGACATATCCTCTTAGTTGTAGTCTTGAGATTGGTCTGTTTGAAGGACTCCGCTTGGATAAAAACTAAACAATCAATTGCGGAGTAAAAAATTATTTAGGGCAAATTAACGTGATTTTGACTGACTGTTTTTATAAAAACAAGTCTTAAAAGAAACAAAGATCTTTTGTTAGAGCAGTCTCTAAGAAAAAATTCTGTTTTGATTGATCATAATTCAAAGGAGATTCTCTTTATTTTCTTATTCCATTTTATCAAGCAGAAAATGTCACATTTGCCATGTCACTTGAAACGACCTGTATGAAATGGCAAGCCAAAAACGTTTTTCCTATTCATGTATTTAGTATTCATAATTGACCGTATTATATTAAATAATTATACTTTTATCTAGAGTTTTGGTTCATCATTTCTAGAAGTGCTGAATTTTTTAATATATTCAAAAACTGTTGTCACATATGAACAATGTTGGGGTTATAAACTGAGCGAGGCTAGACAAAGACTATTTCCATTTTTGCAAATTATATCCCTGACAAACGCAAGCAGTGTGAAATAGCTTATTATTTCACATTACATTACAACTAAGTGTAATATATTTTTATTCTAAAACTGTTGCCACAAGAGAGCGACGTTAGGGTATAAGCAGGGCGAGGCTAGGCACAGTCTCTTTCCATTTCTGCTAATTCTGTCCTCGACAAACGGAAACGGTGTAAAATAGCTTATTATTTCAACATTCCATTAGTGCAAATACTAGTGTAATAATTAATAGTGTAATATTTTACTTCTAAAACTGTTGTCACATGAGAGCGACGATAGGGTTATAAGCAGGGCGAGGCTAGACACAGACTCTTTCCATTTCCGCTAATTCTATCCTCGACAAACGGAAACGGTGTAAAATAGTTTATTATTTCACTATTCCATTAGTGCAAATACTAGTGTAATAATTAATAATGTAATATTTTACTTCTAAAACTGTTGTCACATGAGAGCGACGTTAGGGTTATAAGCAGGGCGAGGCTAGAAACAGACTTTCCATTTCTGCTAATTCTATCCTGGACAAATGGAAACGATGTAAAATAGCTTATTATTTCAACATTCCATTAGAGCAAAGTGTAATATTTTTCTTCTAAAACTGTTGATTGAAAATAGCGACGTTAGGGTTATAAGCAGGGCGAGGCTAGACACAGTCTCTTTCCAGTTTTGCTAATTCTATCTCCGGCAAACGCAAACGATGTAAAATATCTTGTTATTTCAGCATTCGATTAGATTCAAAGTGTGATACTATGAGTAATGCAAATTTAAATTGGAAAGGATTTTCATTCTTTATGTAATAATTGTTTTGGATTATTGTCAGAAAAATTCAAGATATTAAAATACAACGTTATGACGTCTCTTTCAATACAGGCAATCATCACCCCAGAAACAAGGTGACTCACCCAAGTACAACACGGTAATCAGAATGCACTCGCGAGGGGGGCTTTATGTAATACAGCAGCTGCATCCTTTTTGATCTCGTCGCCCATTCAAACAACCCCGCAATCCAACTATCATGGATATGCAAATCGGGGGAGATTTAAATCTCGTCCTGCCGACAGCGTGAAAAAGCGTGTCGAATTTGTTTGAATATGCCAGGCCGGTTGTAGTGCTTTTGATTGCCGTTCTGGATAATACTGAAGAGTGGTGCTTTTAACTTTATTAAATTATTAATCGTTTGATTGATTGAGTGTACAATGTAAAATATCCGTAGAAGTAGAATGTTTTATAACCTATTAATAAGCGTTTGCCAAGTGTTCAATAATTCCTGAAGTTTTCCTCGGCCACGGCTTGACCAGCAGCGATGCACAACTTGTTTTTAATATAGGCATTAAAATGATCAATGCTGATTAAAAAAGGAATTGGCGAAAGGTAGAAGGAGCAAGGACCGTCTAGGTATTGGCCCAAAGGCTGAAGTAAAGAAGTCATATTACATAAGACATAAACATTTATTGCCGATAGATTATGCAGCTGAAAACGATGGCGTATTGGTTATACACCACAACGGCCTGACACAGTTGTCACATGGGGGAGACACAAAATTGCAAAGTCTACGAAGAATACCGTGTCTTGACATATCAGGGGCATCGTTTTCTTTGCCTTTCAATGAAGATGGCACAACGCCGAAACGCGTTCGACCAGTCCAACAAGCCCGCGAGTGATGACGGACCCAATAAGTGACCCAATGCCGGTTCACCATGAGCTCATCAATTCAAACCATATTAAATTTTAAATTACCCTGACAGGCAAAAATTTCCACCCACTCGTTATATAACTTAATTTGTATATATTTTTGTATATTAATCTAAGTTTCGTGTTTTTTTAACGTTTAATAATCGACTATTTGTCTAAAAACTAAAAAAAGTAAATTGCTAAGGAAAATGAAAAAAAAAGATGGGCAGATAAAATTTGTTTGTTTTGTTTTAATTTTTTATATCGCGCATTTCCTCCTCTTGCTTTGATTACATCTCGAAGACGCCTCGGCATACTTTCAACCAGTCTGGAAATGTCTCTTGGCTGGAGGTTAGCTCATCCTTCACGAAGAGTCCTTTCACGATTGTGGAATGCACCAGGAAGTGATGTACGTGCTCTTATTCGACTTTTGAGGTTTTCTCATAAATGTTCGATATGTGTCAAGTCTGGAGAATGGCCAGGCTAAGACCCTGATGTTAAACTGTTGAAGGTACGTTTGGACTATGCAAGCGACATGTGGACGGGGGCATTATCGTGCATTAAGGTGGCCATTCACGATCACTCCAAATGGATGCCAAGCCGTACAGGTCCATTTGGAATGCCTGAAATTTGAGGGGGCATTCACGACCGCTCCACAGCCAGTCGCTCCGAACGTCAACCAGTGAATTACCTTATCAAAATGGATGACGATCTCTTGTGCTACTCTTCTGTTTATTTACATATTAAAAGCAAAAAATCGAAGAGGAAATGGTTTAAGGCACTGCTCCTGAACAGAAGCCGTAATACCCATATCAATTTGATGAAAGAACTTTCCCTTGAACCCGCTGATTGGAGGAACTATTTAAGGATGGATGAAACGTCTTATTTATTCATTATATTTAGTGTTCTATTGACCAAATTACTTCTTTCAATTATTTAATCTTTTTTGTAAGGTTTTGGTTGAAATGAAAAAGCTAGTGCCACGAGGAGGATTTGAATCCATGGCCTTCGGCTAAATACGCCGCTGCTCTACCACAAATGGTATCGTGACTTCGATCCTCTCCGACACCAAAAAATAGCAAAAAGAGAGAAAATTCGAAAGGTTGTAGGTTGAGATGGGGATTTGGTCCTCGAGTGGATCGAACTATCGAATAGCTCAAGTGGTTAGCTCAGCGGCGTATTTAGCCGAATGTCGTGGATTCCAACCCCCTCGTGACACTATTTTTTTATTTCAACCAAAACCTTACAAAAAAAAGATTAACGTCTTATTTACATCTCCAGCTTGTTACCCCCTTGATTAGAAAACAAAAGACAGTCATGAGAGAAATCATCACTACATGAAAGGTTGGCAACCACATTACGATTTCTCGCTACAGGGATGAACCAAAAATAACTTAAGTTCTATACTACGGTTTCTGATCATTGTTAGGGGTTATCAATACCTCATCTCTCATTGCATTTCTATCCTTTGTTTTGAAAACGTCGACCAACTGGTTGAGGATCGAATTTCTTTTATTTCTATCGTGGTAATATAATCATTGTCCACCACTTTCATAAACATGGTAAACTTTCATACAATTCAATCACCTCAACAATAAAATCTCGATTGGATGTCATTACCAATAATGTTTTCTCAGTGACAGAAAGACGGAGACTGCGCCAAAAAAACGAGGGTTTTCCCATTCATGACCAGGCCAGCGCGCCAAAATCCCCACCCTCCACGCCAGTTTTTCTCATTCTCGAACGCGCCATGCCGTCGTCGCGCCGTAGATATTCGGAGTGGTGCGATGGAGTTTGAACCGGTCGAATATTCGGCACAGCCGTGCACGCCAGTTCAGTTTTGCCATTGACGCGGTTTTTGGAACGGCGTCGCTCCGTTTGGACTGCTAGGAGCGATCGTGAATGGCCACCTTAAGAATAGCATTGTCGCTGATTTCACCGAGGATAGGCAACGCGTGATGTTCCAAAATTTCATCCACATAGCGAGTGGCCGTCAAAGACCCTCCACGAACAACAGCTAACTCTGTGCGACTCTTTGTTGAAATTCCTGCCCACATCATCACTGAGCTACGTTGAAATGGTCGGCTCTGGGAAAATCTACAAGCTTCGTACCTTTCATTTCGCCTTCTCCACACTCTTTCCCACTCATCTGGAGATCGTAGAGCAAATCTACACTCATCTGTAAAAAGTACAGCAGACCATTCGTCCAAGGACAAATGGCTTGCTCTCAAGCAAATTTTGCCGTGACACTGTGAGTTATGGTCAATTCTGGTCCTGTTACGGGGCGAAAAGCCATCAGTCCATACTGATTCATTCTTCTTCGAGCAGTGCGTTCATAAATTTAGACATCTCGAACTTCCTGGAGCTGACGAATCGCTTGATCATCAGTAAGCTGTTGGTTTCATAAAATTCTCAAAGTCAAAAAACGGTCATCCTGTGGTTCTATTCCCCTAGGGCGACCAGAATCAGGCCTTCTATGGTGGACCCAGTTTCGTAGGGAACTCCGACGGCAATAACCGCTTACCTGATGGAACGTCCATCATCAATAAGTCAACACCACGCGCAATATCCTCAGCAAGTTAAGTTTAAAAATTGGAATTAAGAAAACAACGATAAAAACTAAACAGTTTATTGCTTCAGAATTCAAATGATACTGAATGTACATTTTCAATTTCGTAAAAAGT